CTCCCCCCAGATAAAGGGGAGGAATCCTACATACAATCCCTGCATCGCTGGTGAAGAGTCCTGCCCAATTCTTTATCATCCCTTTGCCCGACAAAAATGGACCCCACCCACATGTTCCCTATGTAATTCCCATATATCCCGTGGGTCGGCCTCTAGATGTTTGAGGAACCCCAGATGCCTAGACCCTAACTACATGTACACGAACATATATATATATATACATGTACATAATGACATGCATATCCGTAGAACCCCTTTAGGATCCCCCTCAAGACATCAACTCCTTGTGAAGGCATACAGGGACGACCGACTCTGCCGGAGCGCGGCCACCAGTGCCTGCGAGCTGCATGGTGCCGCCTACGGATGGGCTCACAAGGATTCTTGCTGTTGGGCCAAGGGACTCTAAGGCTCTGATATCTGTGCCCCGACGTCTATACATGTATGTAATATATATATATATATGCAATATATATATATATACATAGATCTACAAAGGCTAGCTACCTTGGGCTATTGGAGATTAGTTTATGCTCAGCTCTTTTGGCACCGAGGTCCCAGCTGCCCTTCCCGCCAAACCCCACCCACAACACATCGCATGTGTGTGGGTATTCGGGCGAAAAGCCGGCCAGGAGTTGGCGATGCCGAGCAGGCTGCCATGACGTGGCTTTCATCCGCAAGTTCAAGGCAGAGGATCTGCCATCGAAGCTTTGAGGGAGGGATAGCTAAGGATGACCTTCACGCGACGTCAATCTCTGCCTGAAGTGCGTACAGAAATGCCCCGTGGTGAGAGGAGCCGAACAAAAGGAATGCTTGGCTCCAACTGCGATCAGCACCTGTCAGAGATCGAACATGATTCCAAATTCCGGCAACCCGGCGGGCGAGCACAACAGCGTTTTTTTCGTCAGCAGTTGCTTCAGCAACAGGATTGTCTGTTCATCCGACTGCATTTATACATGCAGTTGTTGCAAATGTTGGTGTTAATGTTAGACTGCGTAGCCGGTGCTGCTTCTCTGAGTGCTCCTCGTAGGGCCACCACTCCTGCTCCCCCTGCTGCTAGTATTTAGCACTCCTCCTATTCTTGAACTACTGCTGCTACTGCCAAAGCTACGACGACGGGCCGTCCTACTGGGGCAGTACCGCAAAAAAAGTATCGACACATCGGCAATAGTGGGCGTATTGGTAGTGCGCTAGTAGGATGCATGGCAGCTTCCACGGCAACAGTGGCAATGTCAATTGCAAAGGTGACGATCGCTCATCACTCACTCTAACCTTGTTTCTGATGGCTGCTTTCCTGTACAGCACGAGGATAGGCCGTGATACCTCAAACAGCTTTGTTAATCATCATGCTTCGTGCATTCCAGCACACAGTTCGCACTTGCAAACAAGCCCCAAGCTTCAAGGCAATGGGCCCACCGAATGCTGCAAGCGGAATGCTCGCAGACGGAGGGTCCGCAATACAGGGCTTGCGCTGCAGCAACCGCCAGGTTCATCAACTCAATGGGCTGAAGATTCTCAAGACTGGATGTCGTCAATCTCCTGAATAAGCGATCTGCAGATTTTCGGGGGCAATCCTCATGGGGAGGGCCTCTTCGAAGCTTGGATAACAAAATGAACTAGAACACATGCCTTGAACATCTTCTCAGGCTCACCGGCGATCAATACCAGACGCACCCAAACATTGAGAAAACCTTAGAACAAATGCCTTTGCAACAAGACTTGTAGTCAATCTAGCATTGTTCGACAGCAATATGAACTACCACAGTAGCAGGAAGAATGACCAAGATTACAAAAAAGGCTCGTGCGTTACATCCATTGGCAGAATGATTGCGAATCTAGTCAAGAGCGACAGAAAAGCATGCATGATCCCTGCCACATGAGCCATGATCTAAACTCCTTAAAGGAGATTAAATAGGGGGATATATAGGGGACTACTATAGGGGTTATTAAGGGGGATGCTTGGAGTTTAGACTTGGGCACACATATGGAAGTGATTGCGGTGCACGCCCAGGATCTGCGAGCACTTCCCTCCGGAGGTTCTCGACCAAGGTTACCGTGCGACTAGCACGCGGACCACAAAATGCAAGTGCGTTGGAATTACTCATGGTTTCCCTTACCCTAGGGATCCAAGTATACAAATACTACCTACAATGATTGTACCCTAAGGTCTGTAAACAAAAATGTTACCTACATTGGGCTATTTGGATCCTAGACGTCCGTATAAACTCCCAGTGTCCATTTCATTCACCATTTGCTTTTCGATTTGATTCTCCATTATTAGGGTACCTACATTGGGCTGTTTGGATCCCTAGGGTTAGGGAATGCAGGAATGGATTACGGGAGTTTCAGGGTTTAGGGTTTAGGGATTACTGGGTGTGTTGGGGACTGCTCTAGGGATCCATTCCTTCATTCCCTACCAACCAACAGGAAGCAATCAGTTAGGACTCAGAAACAGCCAGGCTTGGCAACCCCAGAGCCACAGGGAAGCCTTTAGGGTTTAGGGTTTTTAGTTTAGGGTTTATGGGCTGAATCCTTAACCCTAACGGGTTCGTGGTTTATCGTTGAGGGTTTAGGGTCATCAGAGGCTAAAGTTTCTCCAGGCATACATACAGCCCTGGTTCGAAAGGGTCTACTTTAAATCATCCCCGTCATGTCCATATGAACCCATAGTCGCATTTCGAAGCACGCGACCCGAAGCTAGAAGACAGACATGTTGAAGTCTGTCTTTGGCCCCCCTTGCTCCGCGCCTTTGATGCCTGCAAGCTTTGCACTTTAAGGCCATGTATTCTTCCCAAACTGCCACCTGCGTTTAGAGTTGTCTCGAGAGTTCACCTACTGAGATCTCGGTGGTTAAGGAGATCTTAAGCTCCAAGCACCATGTTGGCCCGAAGCCAACAGATGGCCACGTTTCTGGCCACCCATTGTGCTGCTGAAGGTTGTGCCACGGAACGCCCGAGACAACCTGACCTTTCATGCTCGTTTTCAGTTGGGGGAGGCATGGGCCATGGGGCTGGGTGTTGAAGTTGCTAAGCCCCCAAAATGGCTACATAGTCAAATCGCAAATCCATCTACGAACGCTCCCTGCGCGGTGCTGTGCTGCAACACCAGGTCAACAGATGGCACCGAACCTTCGCATATGCGATATAGAGGCCTGTGGGGAGGGTGATTTTGCGAGTTGTTCAAGATAGTTCCTTACAGAATCCTTCATAGGGACTGCCATGATAGAGCTTGCTGGGGACCCCTACCCGTACGTTGAGAAACTCCGAGTTTTGTTCAGTAGTTCCGCAAAGCTTCACTCTCCAACCACAGCTTCCATCAGCTGAAACGAGCACTTGGCGAAGAGGCTGTTGGGGTTTTGTCCTCCCCCAGGGATGCCATGCTGTTTGCAAAAATTGCGTGGCGGCAACAGAGCAGAGCACTATGCGGACGTGTCAACCTAGAACGCCCAGGCAGAGCAGACAGTGAAACGCAAGCGTTCTACACGAACAATGTTTATCCGGCAACCTGAACCCAAAGCTGTCAAAACGCAGCAGACAGCCAAACGCAAGCCTCCTAGATGAACGAAACTGTCCACGCAACGCAGCCCATAGACCATCATCAGCCAGCATAAAGTGGAACGCAAGCCCTCAAACCAATCATACCTGACCCGCAACATGAGCCCATAGAACGTCAGTACATAGCTACATGCAAGCCCTGTGTACAGCAAAGCTGACCCCACAGCCCTAGAATCCCAATCCTAAACTCATCGCCGGTGGGAGGCGAGCAGCCCAATTGCCTCCGAGGCTACGAGGCGTTTTGTGTTGGAAGAGCTTGTGCGTCTTTAGTTTTTGGAGTGTGAGGGTGTCCCCATGTGCAAGTTGAAGGGTCGTCCAGCAGAGCCCTCTCTGCCTTCTCTGGATGCCTGCTGCGGCTGGCCGTGTGTTTTGTTGCCCGAGCTGCTTTTGCCTTCCAACAGCTTTGTGCCTTTGCGACGGCTTTTTTTTTTTGTCGCAGGAACAGCTTCATGCAGTCCTAGCTGTGAGCAAAGCATAGTGCTCGCAGAACGACATCAGAGGCCATAAGGCTGTCAAAGGGATTTTGCAGCACCCTCAGAATTTCACTGGCCGTTGTTCCATTCTTGTGAGCCATCTGCAACGCAGCCGAACTCTGGTAGGCAACAACAGCTGACACATGTTTTGTCAGTCATCCGGCCTTACCAAAGAAATGCAAACATTGGAAGACCTCTCCAACACATATATACCCGGATAGAACCCCGAGGCTCCAAACCTATGAAAATGCCATACTCCGGCCATAAAGTCGGCAAATATTACCTACGTTGGGCTGTTTGGAGCCTTAGGCGATGTACCAGGCTGGCAATTCAAACCCTAAACCCTAAACTACCCTAAAACCCTAAACCCTAAACTACCCTAAACTACCCTAAAACCCTAAACCCTAAACTACCCTAAAACCCTAAACCCTAAACCCCTAAATGACGGATACAGGCCTGGCTGCTCCAAGAGGCCAAGGTGGGTCAGAGCTCTCTGGGAGTTCTCAAGTTATCCACAGGGGTGGTTGTCAAAATTATGGTCCCTTTTTGGGTACCCTAAAATATTAAGTGCCGTATTATAATAGGGATCCAAAAAGGGACCATAATTTTGACAACCACCCACATGCAGTCCGGAGTAATCCCTTCCCCTAATAATACCCAACCCTCCCTAGTAATGAACCTCCCAATCTAGTATTATTTCATGTGGGGGAATATTCATTATTAGGACACAAAACCCACATGTCCCATAGGTCGCTGGAGCATCCGCATTCAGAGAAATCTCACATGTTGCTAGCTCGCGAGTTGGTCCCGCTTGTTATATTATGGAGATTTCTCATACCAAGGGTACCATTTCGGGTCCCCCCCTGGTTTATGGAAACTACTATAATATCTTAATCAGAACGGTGTTGATAGTGCTGTAACGGGTATAGTTCTTGGCATTGCTCTAGACGCTAGATGCGCTCTATATAATTTGCATGAGCAGTACCCTCAGGGTCCAAGGGCCTAAATACTGGGGTTTTTTACTATGATATAAAGTGTTTGGGCCATAAAACCCGATTATTTCGGCCCTTGTACCCTTAGGGGTATTCGGATATGCAGCACAGCCCTCCATGAAGCAGAGCCTTCTCTCGGAGGCTCGGAATCCGGAAATCGTGACATTTGGCCTAGCGGGGATCTCAGAAAGAGGTGTTCGGCATTCGAAATCCCAAGTTCACCTATGTAGTACTCCGCATTTTGGCGGTAATATCTACATGGGTATGCCAAAGCCGTAAAGGCTGTGGTCCTTGCATTTAAGGGGGCTGCCGGTTTTTCGGATCCCATTACTTGTGTGGTGTATTTGGAGTCCTCGTTTTTTGATATGCGAACATGTTGATTCCATGCAGGTCCTGCCTTAACGGAACACTACTTACCGGTGCTTAAGAGCGGGTTGGAAGTGGATCCCTGCAATAATCCTAAAACCTCTAGATTCCTTCCCCCTCTGCCCTATAGCGCCAGTAAGACTCGGGGAGATCAGGTGGGGAATAGGAGTCAACAGGTCATCTGACCTCTCTGCAACGTGTTTGACATGCCCGAAATCCTACGTCGACATGCGTCCTGGACTGCAGAACCCGAAACCTTTATCTCAAGACTAACATGCAAACCTTGGCAGGTTTCCATTCCCTACAGAATCTTCACTCGGGGACACCCCTCCTTTGCAATCCCCATGCATTTCTAGGGCCTGAACGGGACCACTATCTTGAGATCCAGGCCCAGTCTCCAACCTACTTCAGGGAGAGTGGGGAGTAACTATAGGTACCTTTATTATTCTTACTAGTACTATACTATACTACTATTCCTATGATTCTTACTGTAATAGGGTTTCACTACCCCAGTCTTCCAACAGCACCAGTGATTCAAAGCATGCAAAGGCCTGGGGCGTTCCGGGCTGGATCGGAAATGGCACATTCTTCAGCGAGGCACGGCATCCTCCTGCCCCTGGGTTTAGGGTTTAGGGTTTTCAAAATATTGAACAGATGTATCTGTTGGGGATGAGGGATTATAGGGGTTATATTGGGATAGTGGAAAATAAAATGGAAACTACTGTAATGGGGTGAAATAGGGTTTAGGGAGGGCCTGACTTGGAGGTTTCCCAAAATTAAAGGGGTACCTTTTCGAGGGTCTCTATAATAAGGCTTATAGTTATTCGGGTCTATATCGGGGTCCGCTTATGGAAGCTACCATATACGTGTATGTATACACCTTGTTATATACACATGGGCGCAGGATCGCATTTTACATATGCATGCATATAAAAGTGTATACATATACACACGTTCAGTTGCCGCTGTATTCTATCCAAGTCCCAAACTGGACATAGAAAGCGTTCTCTTAAACAACCTCCCCATAAGAAATCTTCTCGCATGCGCTTCTTCTGTTGGTGCCTTACATGTCCGCGGCCATGTTAAGCTCGGACTCAAACAGCAGACCACAGCTTGGACTAACATGGACTAACTTACTATATGGGTATTGGTCTAAATNNCGGGGTCCTATATTTGGGTTCCCAAAATAATACGGGGCTATATATTTATATAATTTATATATAGATATATATATTTCCCCCATTTTGGGAACAGCAATTTAGGGAAACTACCATATAAAACGATGGTCCTAGGTTACCTGTGACTTACTGGTTGGTCGTCGGGATTTGAAGAATCAGATCCCTATCGTAGCCTCTGTATACCCAAGGGTTCCCATGTAGTTCCTTTGTAGTATGGGATTCTGGTATACTACCCAGAAAGGAACTACATAGGAGGACCTGGGTAAGCCCTAACAACTTAGGTGTAATGTAGCAGCTTCCATATTATTATTTTTGTTCTCTAGGCCCTAATGCTTAAACCTAAGCCCTAGCCCTAAATCGTAGTTTTCATGTTCTATCCAATCCCTTTATTCCCTACTACCTATAATAGCCCAAAACCCCTAAAGATGGCCCAATAGGTTATCATTCTACATACTTTTGGGGTTCAGGTAGAAACTAGGAGGATGAGCCCCTGAGCTTTGCCTTCTTCCGCCGGCGCGTTCAAGCAATGGCATTCGTCAAGGGTTTAGGGCTTAGTGAAGGAGTTTAGGGTAAGTTTTTATACTTCTGGGTACATGGTAAATAACTGCAAATAACAAAGAGGTTCCTCACTCTAGTAGCTTAAGAAATCTAGGTTCCTTAACAGCAACCCAGATTCATGGGCTATGTGGCTTGGGGTTTAGGGCAAAAGGTCAAAGTTGTTCATCATATGGTCCCTGTGCATATTGAGGGCACCCCAGAAAGGGACCGCAGATGTGCACAAACTTCCATGTGTAGCTGCGTAGTCCAATATACTGTTTTTTGGCACAAGATCTGGGGCGCAGGACAACATTTTCTACCACGTGTCCTGGCTGAAGTGCATCAAGGCCTCGTGCTCGCGTTGTTCGAGGTTACAATGCAATCCCCACCCCTGAGGGTACTCTCGCAGATTTTGAACCTATGAGGCTTAATTCAGTACTTATTTTAGTTCGTTTTGGCCCGAAAGGAGTACCTTACGGGGGGATGGTACGATAATCCCTTGCGGTATACCTTGCGTTGGAGATGTGATATTCTATCGCTTGTGCTTTGCTGCGGTTTCTGCAACCATGAGGATGTCAAAACTTCTCAAGCCTGGACGCGACAGCCCACTTTTGACAGTGCCATTGGAATCTTGAACTCTTTTTGTGAGGCTTCTTCGTTTTTTTCTCTTTTTTTTCGGTGTTTTTGCAATCTCAAATCCTAAGCCCTATCGAGGTCATAAAATGAGCACTTAAAAAAGAGCCCAGAGGATCCGCCCAGGTAGAACCACTGAGGCTTGTAATGACATGCGTGTCGGGACCGGGCCCTGAATCCGACCCTGAAACAGCCCCAACCTCATCCCCGGCCGCAGGCTTTCTGGGCTGTCGTGTCCTACAATTTTGAACCTGACCCAGTTAACCCTAAGCCCTGAACCCCATCCCCATACAGCAAGTACCAAGTCGCAGAGCCCGGAAAGATGGGCCACATCCGCAGGAGACTCTAAAGATTGAGATCGACTACCTTGGCATCTGGAACGAGCGAGATTGGGGTCCCGGGCTTAGCGTTGTGCGCTGCAAATTGGTTTATGCAAAGTGTAGTGTGTTCCCTGTAATGGAATCTTCCGCATCAAGTGCTCTAGGATACCGGGCGCCCGCACGAGACTTACACTTTGACAAGCTTCCATTTTTTTGATCCAGGCCTAGTTGTTGTGTAGCGTATTCTGACTGGTGGCTAGTAGCCAACAAGGGAATAAAATCCCTAAGCCCCCTGTAAGTATTCCAGCAGAAGAATCGCGTGCACCTGGCTGGATAATTGCTGATCCAGCTTTCACGAATGCGTGAATACTCCTCCCTCCCTTATCTTACACACGTCCCAAGAACACAAATAATGGGGTTTTAGGGCCCAAATACTGTAATCTGAATGGTCTTTTGGACCTAAAGCCCTAATACTTGGGTCCTTGAACTTTTAGGGATATTCAACAACTCGCAGCTTTGGCACTCGATTTTGGGGGGATCCCACGAGGAAACTCCAAAAGGCTTTAAGAAGACCCCAATACCATGAAGCTCTTCGCGGCCTCAAGCAGGCATCAAGCCTTGTATGTCCTCACTGTGTACATATGCATTTTTGTATAGACATGCCTTTTCATAGTTACACATATACGCTACGGATCCAAGTATATAAATATTGCCTACATTGCGCCCTGAGGTCTGTAAATACAATCTACATGGGGCTATTTGAATCCCTAGACATCCCTATAAACTTCTAGTTTCCATTTCATTCTCCATCTGCTTTTCCATTTGATTCTCCATTTTTAGGGTACCTACATTGGACTTTTTGGATCCCTAGGGATAGATGTACCCCTGTAGCCCTCTAAAAGGGGAGACCTAGCCCCCCCCGGGGCAGCTCACTGCTAGGTGCTGTTTGGTATGTGTACGAGCTCGCTGCAGCCATCAAGGCAAGCTGCTCTCTTAGTGAAGCCACCCAGAGTTTTGGGCTTAGGGTCTATAGTATCTATCGGGTGGTAGGGTTTAGGGTGAAGGGTCTAGAGTGTTACTCTATTGGTTTCGGGGGTGATTAAGACTAAGGATTTAGGTCTATTGTGTATGGTTTGGGTTTTGGGGTTTTGGATAAGGATTTACGTCTTCATTAGAGTGTAGGGTGAACAACCGGGTCTAGGGCTCAAGTAAGGTACATGTACAGCACGTGTTCAGGAACATTTCCTTACGTTTGGAAACTCATGTTTGTTCAGGCCAATTAAAACGTACAGCAGACTGTCCGTGGAATTCTGTTAATGTGGGGAAGATGCTTTGCTGGACAGGTAAACCCTAGACCCCTGCCGCCTTCCATCGAAGCCAGGCTGCCAATTTGACGACCCAGCTGGTAATGCTTGCAGCGGCCCAAGAGGTGCAAGACGAGGAAAAAGAGCTACGGCAGTTATGCTGTTCATCATCATTGTAGCCCACAAAAGCTGCTTCCCCTAGTCTGTGTTGTTAAGGAACTTACATTAAGTCACCATAGCAGGAAAAGCATGGTATTTGCTGTGCTATCCATACTATGGTAGCTTACGTTCAGGTCCTTAAGTGCAATCCGTTAGTAATGTCAACCCCCCACCAGCCGTGCGAAGTGGGAGGATACTTGATATTTGGGTGTGGAGGGTGTTGCATATAAGGGGGAAGCGGGTACAGGTGACTCTTCAAGTAGACTTACAATCTGAGGATGCGACAGCCCGTACATTACATAGACACAGTCCTCATAAACTAATACATAAACCCAGTAGTCATATAAGCTACAGCCTAAACCCCTTAAAGGGTGCTATGTAGGGGAGTATAGGAGTCGCGGTCAAAATTACCGTTTACTTCATTTAGTCTAGGCGGTAGTTGTTGCGCAAAAATCCCCAAGATCGATAGGGGACGTCCTACAACTATAGGCTTATTTCATTTAAGCTAGGGTTAAGAGAAGATCCCCAAAACGTGGAAATCGATAGGGGACGCCCTAATTCAAAAACCGAGAGAGAACAAACAAGTAGTGTTGACGCCGCATAGGGGAGTATGAGACGGATTATTAATGGGGATACTAAGAGTTTAGACTATGGTACATATCTATTTTCCACTTTTTCCATTTCATGCTTCACTAATCTGATCTGAGGATGCGGCAGGGGGTTCGGTTCCAGCAGATTTCCTGAATGCCTTTGAAAAAGACGAGCTTGGCACTCAGAAAGGGTTTAGGTTTTAGGGGGGTTCAGGGTTTAGGGTCTAGGGCCTGAAGGACTAGACCAAATCCATGGCATAGAAGTTGTTTTTTTTGAAGGTGATTATATTGGGGTATATAGGGCCATGCAGGGCCATGTAGAGTTTGCAGTTGAAGTCGTTGCATGTCCAAACCCTGAACCCATTTAGAAGAAGTCTTGGTAGTCACGCTCTTCTCTGAGGACATCCAGGTGTTCGGACATAGCCACGTGACCTTGCTCTTCGCAACTTTTCGGGTTTAGGGTTCAGAGCTTAGGGCTTAGGATTTAAGCTTGGGGTTTAGGGTTTCTGTATCCAATCGCACTATTTTCAGGGAGGCTGTCTCTCTCAATGACAATTACCAAGAATTCCTAATGGAAGGAAGGTTTGGGGCTTAAGGGTTTCGGCATTTTCGTGGATCGATGCTTGGAAGTTGGCCCGGCAGGCGTAATTTGGCATTGGCTTTCTGCGTCCTACTAGATGGTAAATCCCCTAAAGGGACCACATATAGACCGCCAAATAACTACGACAATCCTTATTATGAGGAAAGGCTCCTTCTAATCTCGGGGCCCGATTAGTGTCACCCCCCTGAACAAGAACGGGGCCCCCTAAACCCTAAATTTGGGTCGAAGATGCCTTTTTTCCCTTGTCCAAGAAGTGGACTGGGAAATGAAGCAATGAAGCTACTGCTACAAATCACCCAACTCACTGGGGCGTGATAGGGATTCTGGGACAACAGAGTTTAGGGTTAGTAGGGAATTGTGGAGTCTCCTTTCTAAATCCTCCCAGGAATCTGGATAGCCAGTTTCTCGAAGAGTATCCAGGCAGGGAAGCCGGACCTGTCACCAAAGGATTCCAAAACTTAGCCAAACCATGAAAGCCTTAAGCCCAGGCCCTTCAGTCGCAAGCCCTAAATCTTGAAACTCCCAAAGTCCTAAACCGTATAGTCCCCCTCAAGTAGATAGAATATGGGTTATATGGGGATCTTACTATAACATACCCAAAGCCATATTCCATCTACATAAGGGGGACTGTAAGGCCTAAACCCTAAATAGTAGTTTCCATTCTCTTTTCCATTATCCCAATATAATCCTTATATACCCTTTTCTAATATAGTAGTTTCCATTTCATTTTCCATTATCCTCCTAAACCCCAAACCCTATTCCCCAAACCCTAAGCCCCAAACCCTAAACCCTAAACCCCAAAGTCCTAAACCCTAATCCCCGATCATCACCGCAGACATGGAGTGCAGGCATTTCCAGGATCTCGTCGCAGCAGTGGGACTGCATTATCCCTGTCGCAACCTCAGGCTGCAAGTTTTGGGTTTAGGGTTTTGGGGTTTAGGGTTTAGGGCTTTTCTCTCAGAATTTGCAATTCGAGCTGGGTTTTGGCCAGTTGAAAAAACTGCTGCTGAGGGCCCGGCTAAGTCAGTGGTAGGCTGAGACGCACAGACATGGCACAGCTTTGTAGGCGTGCCAGGGTGCGACACGCATTTGGGGTTGTCAACAGTATTGTCCCTGCGTGCTAGGGACCCGGAAAGGCACCACAATTTTGCTCAGCTGAAAGCAGCTGCTCACCCCAAGCCTCACAAGCCCTATAATAACATGCCCTAGGCACTGGGAATGAGAAGCTTTTCGATGCCTTGAGACCTCATCCTTCCACACGCTTCTGGTCTTCAGAGGCACGCAGAAGCTGCAGTCTTTCAGTGCTTGCGTCGGTGACAACATGAGCCCTTGCTTCAGCTTTTGCCACCCTGTTGTTTAGGTTCTGGTACTGGGGCGACGTAAAGCCAGCGGGACTTCAGAGGTCTTAGGGCTAGGCATACGACATGAGCTGCCAGTGGAGCTGCCTGTGCACCTTACTGTGCTGGTGGTCGAATTGGCTGGCCAGGTTTTGATCACAAATTGTTTGGGTGTACGCAAGCATGCTTGAACTTGAAGCCCAGCCCGTCCCGCCCTCAAAGCACCCAAGCCCCTTGACCCCAATCCCGCAATACCTTCCTAAATGACTTGATCTCCTTAACCGTAGACCAGCGGGCTGGTCCAGGAGACCTCCACTGTGGCGGATTGGGGGGGTGCTGGCTGTTGGGGCCGCATGATTAATCAGAATTACGCACGGCCCCAAGGAGAGCATGACACGGTTTCGGAATCACAGTCATAGTGTCCAAGCTTTTCCAGTTTAGGGACAGAGTTGGATGCTGCATTTAAATTGTTTCTGTACTTGAAGGGATCCCAGAAAAGGGCAAGCACTTGTGCCTCTGGGTCAGGGGCCGCGATTCTGGTAGGTTAGGGTAGTCAGGCTTTTGTGGGCTGATGACATTGCGGGTTTCTATCACATGGCTGTTGCCCAAAAATGGGAGTCCCTCATGCTCCCCAATACCCCAATAGGTTCTCATCCTTCAGTTAGGCCCCCACGTTTGAGCCCCAAATCAGAGCTCTACTTTCTGAAGCCCCCATCTCTTTCATTGTTGGTGTGTCGGGGACGGTGGTTGTGAGGAGCTTCTACTCACGGTCGAGGGTTTTTAGGCAACGGCCCTGGGGGCTGCAACTGTATCTCAGAAAAGATGCAGGCCTTTCTGTTAGATTTTTGGTTAAGGGATCACATGGGTTAGATTTGCTGGGGAAAAATTATGGGATATCACATGGGTTAGATTGGTTTGATTTCCTTGGGGAAAACTATGGGATATTGCAGAGTGTGAGTGGATGGATCTCTGCACTTAGGCCCCAGAAGGTTCAGGCTCAGGGGGTATAGGGGGTCTAGAAGTTGGGGCTGGTATGGCTTGAGGTTTAGGATTTAGAGTTTAGGGTTCAGGGTTTAGGGTTTAGGGTTTAGGGTTTCTGGCTAGTGTGGAGCACAGTAGGGCGGCATCACCCTCTACGGTTTCAAAACTGGTTTTCGGGCGGGGATCTGTGATGATCTTTTGTGCAGGCATGTACAGAACGGCATGTTCGTTTCCATAAATAGGCCGCCCGTCCAAAACAAAAACAAAAAAGGAAACTCCCATCTAGGGGCATTCTGGTGCATATCTTCAGCCAATCTGCCTTGCAACAAGGTGCGGATGAATGCCACCTCCTCGATCGCTTGGTCTCTCATTTGGTGCCTTGGCGTGAGGGAGTTTTCCAAAACCATATTGTGGTATATTATAGTATATTATGGTATATGATTACAAGAGACCCTAGAAAGAATTAAGTTGGTGAGTATGGGGGAGGTATTGCATTGGAGTCCCATTCAGTGGTTCTATCAGGGCTATTTTGAGAAACCATGATACTGGTAGTCACCTGACCCAGCCTGGCAAAAACAGCTTTACAATCAAAAGAATGTAAAGGTTAGTGATGCCCCGCCAGGCATTACAGCAATGGCGACCTCAAGGGATAGGTGTCTCCTTATTCCTGTTCTGGCACTTTAACGGGGTTCGAAATGTAGGTTGGCCTGGCAACCGACGGTGAATTGCCGACAGTAGCATCGTATGAGCTATAGTCTGCATTCCCTAAAGGGGCTTATATGGGGGATTATGTAGGGGAGTATTCTAGGGCTTATCGAGGGGGACACTAGGAGCTTAGGCTATAGCATCACATCCCCTAGTACCGCACTAACTGGGCCATAAAGGATTGCCAGAAGTACAAGGCTCTTCCTCCATTTTGCCCTTTGGATCCTATATGGTAGTTTCCCGAAATCAGGGAACCCCAACATAACCCCAAAATACGATGATCTTTAGTAATGAGGCCCCCAAGAAAGGTACCCCTAATTTGGGAAATCCCAATATCCAGAAACCTTAAACTCCATGAGCCAAAAGCATAAGGCTGGGTTCCCCTAAGCCAAAACCCCAATTTCCTATGAACCCTAACTCAGACCCCCCAAAAGGATCCAAAAATGGAGTCGCAAAATGAACCCATTTGAACGTTGCGGAAAAGTAGGGGATGATTAGGATATAGGGTTTAGGGTTTACAGGGTTGATTGTCTGGAACCCTAAACCCTAAACCCTATGCCTCAGGAGCGTCTATCCCAACTTGGAGTGCTTTGGAAATGGCCTTCTCTACGCCTTCGAGCCTTGGAGTGGCCATTACGAGGCCAGCTGAAGCGCTGCGATGGATGGAGGAAATCTTGTGGGTTTAGGAGTTAGGGGTTAGGATTTCGGGGTTAGGGTTTAGGGGTCAGGGTTTAGGGTTTCGGGGTTAGGGTTTAGGGTTTCGGGGTTAGGGTTTAGGGTTAGGGGTTAGGGTAGGACATCACCAACATCCTGTAATTATGGGGGAGATAGGGTATATAGGGTGGTGCAAGATTCCCTCCGTCCACACGGTAGCGTTCAGGGCTTGTGGGATTTTGAGGTCTTAGTAGCTGCATAGGTGCATCAAGGCATTGCTTGACACCTTATTTTGGTTCCTGCGATTTCATTACAGCAAGAGGTGCAAACTGTTTGTTGGCCAAGGGAACTCAGCAAGAATACACACACTTGTGGACTTCAGGTTTCTGGGTTGAGGGTTCAGTTTATAATTATGGAGGCTCTTAGCGTGAAGTGTACACCAGACTGTGCTTGCTGTTGCGACTAGACATGGCCCTGCAACTAGACCCCGCAAAGACCCGGCATTGACACAGTAGACTCTGTTCAGGTTGTTGAGATGGCATCAGGCTGCAATCGTTGAGTTCAGATACCTGAGACCGTTGCAAAGCAGCGTACTTGCGGTATGGGTGTGTTTACACATTGTGGGCTTTCCTCTCATACCGAATCCGCATCAGACTCTAGAAGACTACTTCAACTTCTGAGTCCTCCCCACACAAAAGGTCATGGCGCCAGTCTGGATGACTGCCCACACTACACAGTTCACCAAACTGGGCCTGCTTCCGAGCGACTCTGGCAGTGCGTGACAGGACCGTAGGTTTGGGACATATACCGCTTCATCACCAAGTGCTCAGCGGCCTGGCCCATGTCCTCTTCACATCTTACGTTGTACTAGGTGAGCAATGAGCCTAGGCTTGTTAGATGACTCATGGGCGTACAATCGCAACTTGCTTGGGGTTTCGGATGTATGCCAGGGCCAGAATAACATGCAAGGATGCAGGCTAATCCAGGATGGCCCCATTGTGGCAGTTCTTTTGCAGAAGTGTGTGACTGGCATTGCGTTTCGGAAGCGGGCACAGGAGCATGACTTACTGGTGCGGATCACTACAAGGGTAATCCCTATATCTTCCACAATACCCCTACGTTACATTCCTTCATTTCCGGCCAGCTGCCAGTATACGCTAAGTGGCATGGTCGGATTCTGAGGTCCCTCCATTCAACACTATTCTCTCCCTGTAGCCGCTCCTTCGCGCTGCTGTCCCAAGAGCCAACACCCTGCACACAAAGCCCAAAACCCTGACTCCAAGGCCACCCCCAAATACCAAAATTCTTAAAGGTTTAGGGTCCAGGGTTCATGGACCCGCAAGAAGGTATCCTTGAACATTTTCGGAACCCCTACACCCTAAATCCAAAACCCTAAACCCTAAGCCCTAGATCCGAGGCGGTACAGTTCCCCCTCAGGAGTCTCCGTCAAGGGATGCTTTTGTCCAACCCGGATTTCCACATTGCAATGCTGTATGGCCATGCAAGCGGCAAAAATCCTTTCCCGCAAAAGAAGCTGGTGTTCAATCATTCGCCAAGGTTGGGAGTACCTTCCACCCGGCCAGGGGGCAGGGAACCTACCGGACCGCACCACCAGCAAGGTATAGGGTTTAGGGTGTAGGGTATAGGGTTTAGGGCTTTTTGTGTAGAGGTTTTCCTCAAGATACGCCCAAGAGTACCTCATTTTCAGAAATCCACCAATAAGGAGGAGTGTTCTCCCTTACTGGGGTTTCTAGGGATATAGGGGATGAAGTCTCTCGAGTCTTCTGAGCTTTCTGTAATTCTATCTGGCGGAGTTCCTCTCGGTAGGGATTAGCACGGCTTGGGTTGGGGGGTGGGGCTTGGATGGCTTCCTACCTAGGGAGTGCAGCAAAACGCAAGGTTACCTCTACCTTGATTGCTATATTATCGATCGTAGTGGGTACTGATATGGTGCATTCCTTAGGAGGACCCCTCACCTGCAATAGTGGTATAATAGGAATGTAAGAGGACCCTAATATAACCCTTATTATCCATAATAGTCACTATTACTGGGTGGGGGGTCCACCTAATGCATTCCCTTACTTCAAAAGCTTGGCTCAACTTAATTCAGCAGACATTCAGATGACTGGCCTCTTCTCTAGATAGCAGCAGTGGATTTCACCTGTGCTTCTGCAAAGCTAAGCCCCTTGACACGAACGCCCTTAAGCAGCCTTTAGGCTAAAGACTCTTGCCGTAGATTTACATTAATAAGGGGGTTTTGGTAACCCAAATTAGGACCCTACGACTATCATATGATGGTTATAGGGTCCTAATTTGGGGTTGGGGTTACCAAAGCCCTCTTACTATACATGTCTGACCAGCACAGAGAGGTACAGTCGGTAGCTCTTTTAAGCAAGTCGAGGGCAGTGGGCAATGGGAATTTCCATGGTTACGCGGAATATTGTTCCTACGCGTTTGGCTCATTGGATTTGAGGAGGCGAGGTCATAAGTCCTTAAACCCTGTAGTAGTTTCCATTTTCTTTTCCATTATCCCAATATAACCCCAATGTAATACCCTAAACTCAAATAATCCACAGGGGCCCCCAGAGTCATAAGACACTACGGCATTACAGTGGCAGAAGGACAAGCTTTGGACCCGGAGTTAGGCCTCCAGGCCTCCAACTCCCCAAACATATGAGGGTTTCCCAAAATAAGGGATACCTTTCTGGGGGCCCCTATAAGAAGGACTATAGTATTTTGAGGTCTATATTGGGGTCCCCCTATTTTGGGAATGATGGGCCCCTTTTGCTTATGGACTATATCATGGCACGTAATATCTAGGGGTATTAAGATGGGACGCTAATTTTGGGAACTAGGCATAGTAACCTAAACCCAAAACCCTATCTAGCACTCAGCCAGACCTTGTCTTTGAAAGGGTCTTTGCACAGGAGGGCGGAACCTACGTCACCATTGCCAGCAGAGACTTGAAAGACTTCACCGTTGTTCTGGAGACATTACAAGGCCTAGGGTTATACTGGGGTTATATTAAGGTAATATTAGGGCATTATTGGGGTTATATTCTTGCTGCATTGAATGTTGCAAGCATTTTGCCCAACATGCCTTCAATGCACCCAGTCATTTGCTTCCAGTGTAGTGCGCGTTCCCGATCTTTGGCAGGGCTTATGGTTGAAGCCACTACCCTGCAGGCAGCTGTATGTACAATGGCGGATGTGCTTGGCTCAGACATTCTTGTCCAAGCAGCAAGTGTATGTATGACGGGCAAACCCCAAACTAGTTGGAACAAAGTTTATGATGCGCGGACCTTTCGCTCTGAAGCCTCCCCATATGAAGTATGAAATTTTGTCATGGCACACATCAAAGGTCCAAGAGATATGAATTGAAATCCTCCACTAAGTCCTGAAACCCCAAAGCCAGCTTTCTATCTCCAAAAACCCCAAAGCCCAGAACCCTGCACTCTAACAACTTTCCTCTGAGGCTTCCACACCGTGGAGGCAAATAGAACTCAGAGCCTACAGCTGCAGCTTAGCAGACGCGGCCTCAGACCTTCAGAAGGCCATTATTCGTATTATCTCACGACCATCAGTATTTTTTACTATTATTGTTGCTATTATTGCTAGGGCTGCTTCGAGAGTAGATTGGAGTTGACGTTGTCGTCGTCCTCCTCCTGCAGTAATCGGCATGTTGGTGACCAGAATCCTTCATTCCCTGCTGAGCAGCTGCCAGTCATACGGGAGAGTTTTGACAACTCTTCGAGGTTCATGGATGGGGTTTGCAACTTGCCATAACCCCCTATGAACCTCCAAAAACAACAGGTGTTTGAGTTCGACCAGGTGTACTTCAGCCCGCGGCTGTACATTGAAGTTTAGATAGGAAGCATCTCGAAATCCTTAGTCGAGAATCTTGGGATTGATTTCGGAGAGATAGGCGGGGCAGGGACCACGGCACAAATAGGTGGGCTACTGCAAACCTGCGCACTGCGCCCTACAATCATGCCAACTTGCTTTGTATACCTTGCTCTTGCTACTTTTAAGGTTCATAGTTTAGGGTTTGGGCCCCCTTTGATACTGAGAGTGTTGGCCCGTGACTAAGGCAAGCTTGCTGATGCGGCCCTGGGAAGAGCTTTGGAGGCCGCTGAAGCAGATGGGGGCTTTTCATGGGTCCTTGCTGGGTGTCTGTGGGATGTGGGCTACATTATTTCGGGTTTCAAGAAATTAAGTGAAGCAGAAGCTGGGTTGCCAGATAGCCAACGAAGCTAGCAATCAAGAGTCCCTTGCCATGAATTGCGGGCCCCAATATAGGACCCAGCCTTTTTTTGTGGCGTCCCTGTACTTCGCTGAGCTATACTTGAAGCCATCTTCAATTCTAGGCCCCAAGTGAGGCTCCATGATCATTTCATGATCGCTTCAAGAACTTCGCCCATATCGAGCAGCGCCTCCCTAATGGCAAAGATACCCACGAGACCTATGGGCATTACGCTGGGACTGTTGATAGATGGGGTGTGTTCTGTGTAGTAGAAAGGGGAAGCGTTTTGCATGCCTTTGCAGGTATGGGCTACAAACAGCACCCACTGGTGGGGCCCCCGATGCTGGATTGGGCATCAGTAGAGCTTCAACAGCTTTTTGGTTTCCAGCACCTGTGATCAGCTGTTGGTGAGTGGCAGCATGTTCTGCAGAGTTTAGTTTTGCATATGGATTCCTGGTTTCTTGTTGCAGTTGACGCTCTAGAGCTGCTTGTGATGACCGCGTACAAGTCTAAAGTCTAGCACCAGTTGGCATCAGTGACACAAGCTGATGCCTTTCAATTTGAGCCTCGTCAGTGAGTTCGCTCATCCTAAGATGTTCTAACACACAAGGAGTGCAGGAAAACCTACACAACTCATGCTCGTAGAAGCTCCGTAAATCCGACAGTATTGATCATCAGAAGACGGTCGGGTCTGGCAAAATTCTGGGAGAAAAGCTTCGGTCGGTCTGTTATGGCATCCAAGCTCAAGTTTTCCCTAAACTAGGGATACCTTTTGGGCCTTCCCGCATCATAGGGATTGATTATAGTATTGTTGGGTCTATCTCTGGACCACCATATCAGCCATAGTCTAAACTCCTTAAAGGGGGCTGTATAGGGGAGTATCACGGGGGCTATGAAGGGGGATACTAGGAGTTAAGACTATGGTTCATATGGGTGGTTGTCAAAATCATGGTCTTTTTTTGGGTACCCTGAATGTCAGGTGTCGTATTATAGTAGGGATCCAAAAAGGGACCATAGAACTGAAAACCACCCATATCTAGGAAACTTCCCTTGGTTGTTTTGTTTGTACGCCCTGGTTTGCGTTGGTGGCAGCCCTTCGGATCTGTATACGCGATCCGTTTGTTTTGCGGGGGCAGGAGGACCTCAACATGATAGATAGAGAGGCACATAGATACCTAGATAGATGGGCAGAGAGATGAATGTCCCTATATGGGCAATTTTGCAGATAAGAATCCCTTTAATGTGCTGTAATCGACGAGTTGGGAGAACATGTCATATCTGGCCCGTAAGGGTTGTGCCCGGACAGGACACCCTGTCATTTCAAACCTCAAGACTCAGGTCCTGAACCCCAAACCCCGAAACAAGGCGAGTCTCTGTTATGCTCGTCAAGTCGAACCTTCATTGTAAGATTCCTCACTTTCTGCTCCGACAGCGAGTGTTGCTCCTAAAACCAAAAACTTCAATACAAAAGGTTTCAGCGCTTGGCCGACACACAGATCACAAAGGACGGCTTGCTGAGGACTGCCCCGAGATTTTTCACGAATTCTATGGTTCGCTCACACTCATCAGGTTCCTCGCGGTCCACACTCCTAAGGCTTTCACTTTGAGAGCTTGGAAATTCTTGAGGGCTAGTGTTTTTAGGGATTGGGCTTCTGCACTTTTAGGGCGTCGTTATTTGGGGTATAGGTGGCTCATGGCTTAAATAGGGTTTGGGCCTCTTGCCACAGAGAGTTGGCGGTAGAGGTTCCTAAAGACTTCCTGTGCCTAAGGGTCGCCGGGGTTTCAACTGGGCTTATAGCAGGTGCTTGAGGGCTTGATTTCCTGCAACGTTGTGTAGGGTTTTGGCTGTTAGTGTTGCTGTATTCTGTTTTGCTTCATTTTTTTGGGTATGGGTTGTCCAGGGTTGAAGTCGTTTGGGGATTATGTTTTTTTTCAGCTTTGGGCTCCGAAGGGCATAGGGCTTTGAGTTCCTCAGGCCTTCAACAGGCTTAGGGTCCTCCATGCTCTCTAGGATTCTTTAATCAGGGCTTCAGAACTTTTAGGGGTTTGAAGGAAGAAGTGTATGTGGCTGGGATGCCAAACAGCACGGTGTGAACAACGAGTCTGAACAAATGACCTTCTGTGACTGGAGAAGAGCTTGGCAGTGACCAGAATCATGAGCCAAACAGCGAAGTTGGCACGTCGAAAACGAACACGGGCATGTTATGCCAACGTGCAGGAAACGTTCCGCATGCGAAGGTATTTAGGGTGGCAGTAATTGTCCAGGCGCCCTGCTCCTTGAGGTTTAAAGTCTATCAATTCTGCTCAAGGAGGACTAGATTTGCGGAGCCACGGAGAGGGGGATATGAGGCATAGATGGTCAGAGCAGGCTCTTCCCAAGCAGGATGCTCTTCCCAAGCATGCTCTTGAGGATTGAAGTCCCAGTGGATGCGATCGTGACCATCAGCACCCTGGGCAATGCGGGCTCCTTGTGCAAGTTGTGCACAACCGTGGCCCTACGAGGGATCGGTGTGGTAAGCCTGAGTCATATTCATGCCAGCATATTCAGCAGCTTGAGCACCGACACAGATGAAGGCCAGTGTGGTTGTCAAGTTTGCCCCTTCATTTGGGAACCATGTACTTTTCTCTGGGGTCCGCAGAGTGAAGTTTGAAAAGGCAGCCCTCGGCCGCAGCCCCATTGACAGTAAGCACACATTTGGGGCTGGTGACGCCCGCATGGGCCGGGAGGGTGAAGTACCGTATTCGCGGGGCACAAATTCTCAGCACTCAGAGTGGTATGCATCCTGAAAAAACAAAACCTGCAGACCCCAAATTGTTGAATTAGGGGCTCCAGAATGGTCCCAGCAAATGGCACATAGGGTCAAGCCAGAAAGCCACTTATTGTACAATCCTTGCTCTCACCTCGCAGACAGACGGCACTAACACGAACCTCCAATTCTTCCTGACCTACTACCCGCAGTCAGGTTAAAGCGGACTCGGAGACTCTGTTTACAATGGCCGCTACGTCATCCCAGTTTCCATTTAATTGTCCATTTCCTTTACCGTTTGAATCTACATACTCCGGGATCCAAATACCCCTATATCATACAACCTCCACATGTACCTATAAAACCCTGCACAGCTTTATATTCATCTATACAATCCTTACCTCCATAGAACCCTCTTAAGAACACCATCTCTCCCAAGGCCACGAAGGCAGGGCAACGCAAAGCCTCGCCTGGTCTAGACAAGGCACATCGGAAGGAGAGTACCATAGAGGCCTGCATACTTGCACAACATACTGTAGGGGTTTGTACGGTCATTTTGGGTTCTTTGTGGTTTAGGGTTTAGGGCTAGGGACCGGAATAATGGAGAAACAGATGGAAAAGAAAGTGGAACATGAAATGGAAACTGGGGTACTACAAAGGAAAGGTTGAAGGGCCAGGGGGTAGTTGCCCATATGACGGTTCTAGATTCCTTGTGAAAATTTTGACATAGGGTATCTCGCATAGACAGTGAAATGATATTGGAGATTTCGTAGGCTTCTGCGCTATATCCACAAAACTTGGGGTTGTCCAGGTGTCCATTTATAGAAGTTGGTGTCAGGCAAGTCTCCGAAGATTTGAAGTCCCCTTTTCTGAGGTCCCTGAGAGGATTGAACAGCAGACAAATTCTGAAATGTACATGTGCAAAAATGTGATGTAAAGGGGGTCAGGCATGATACACCCCGCAAGATGAACTTTCAAGTTTTCGATTATGTCTAGCATCTATTCACGGAACTCAGTTGTCAACCTCTGAACAGCTTAAGCCCTTACTTGGTTTCCCCTTACTAACTTTTGCCCAGTAGCGTTTCTACTTCATGCACGGTATGGTTGCTTCACCCACACTTGCAGCCCTAATTAAATTGTGAGTGTGCCATGTGCCTGTGAAAAGGAAGTAAGGTTCCCGGCCGTTCAGAAGTCGCAGCTCGTTGGCCCAGAAGAGCTTTCTGGAACCATTGGACCCCCAGCAATTGCTAGAGGTCTAGGGGTTTGCATCCCACCAAGACCATGTCTTTACCCTTTACCTTCTCATTCCTTACCTGAACTCATTGCCATTGAGGTCTTCCCTGAGGGTCCAGGCACCCATGCAAAAGCGCATTCAGCCCCAAGTATATATATATATATAATGGTCTCCTGGACCCTCTGGGTTTACCCTGACCCGATCGCATCTTGTGCATTAGTAGCCTCACTCCCTTCGGCCCTTAAGCCATAAATCTTTAGCCCTAAATCCATAACTCCAACCCCTAAAGCCATGAATCCTAATAGCCTTAACCCCGTGACCGTGAACCCATAGATTCCTAATTTTTTCAAGCCAAAACATTGAACCCCGAACCTTAAACCTAAACTCTAAACCCTAAAATCTCCAGGAGGTGCCACCAGCCAAGCCATTCCCGCTGCCTTTCCTAGAGGCTAGGGCATGTGCCCAGGTCTTTAAGGGAACCTAGAGGGTACATGCACCCCCAAGTTACGGGGCTTCATATAGAGATAGACTGATGTTTATAGGGTTATAAAAGACTTCATAAAGAGGATGAGGATTGGGGTTTAAACAAAGGAAGCCCCATAAGCAGATGTTTAATGCATTGGGGTCTATATTGGGTTCTCCCTATTCATGGCAGCTACCAATTAGTATATACCTGAGGGGCAAAGGGCACACAAACCCCTAAACCTTCAACCCATGTTGGAAACTTTAGAGGCCAGGTGTGTATGCATATATATATATAGACATACATATTAACAGTATGCCACCTTTGGTAGCGCTTTTCATCACCTGCATGCGGTTAGCGGTGAATGAAGACATGGAAAGTAAATGTAAGCAAGTATACGATTGAAATCTAGAGATTATTACGGAATGAAGGAATGGAACACAGTTATGTGTATTGGGCATGAGCAGAGGCTGTTAGGATCCGTTCCTCCAGTCCCTTTTCACCAGTAACTTGGTTTACACTGGGTTGGCTCCGGGAATTAGCATGGTCTGATGCCCATTACTTATCAAGTGCAGTCATGTGAGCTATAGTCTAAACTCCTTAAAGGGGCTTATATAGGGGACTACTTTAGGGGATATTAAGGGGGATTATAGCTCATGTGAAGATTCTAGATACAACTTGGAAAGGTTCCTACAGTGGCTTGTTACATATGGAGGTACAAACATTCGAGGTGCATATGAAGGTACAAACATTCAAGGAAACTTCTAATTGGATGTTGTCAGGTGTAGACCATGGAGAGAAGCCTATGCAGATTCCGCACTCATTATGCCGCTGCATAAGTTATGGCCGGGGTGTCCATTTCGTGAATGTTCATTGGAAACGGCCCTTGAGCTCCGGTAGGTATTTCCCAGCTATCCGTTCGATATCCAGGCAAGGAACTCTAAACATCCAGCAGCGGCATCAGCTCGCGTCTTCATGCTCTGAAACATGACATATCTTGACATGACATCAGCAGCATCCAAGCATTACCAGTGCTACGTAAGGACCGCCAATCCCAGACGGGGCTGTTTCTTGTGCCCAGACGCTCCAAGTTAACTATTTCCGTTTTATGAATTACAGAAAGTGTGATAGTAACTGTGACTCCTGGTATCTTTTTTGATACTGCCCACACTCATCAGCAGCTGGGTCATAGTATCTTTACTATTTATAGCCCTTAATGTGATCCCTAGTATAGACTCGTAATGGGTGGTGGGTGGGGGCAGGACCCAACGTAAATTTCCCACGCAGGGTAGGAACCTGAACCTGTAGAGCTTAACATCGCATCATGCCCGTGCAGTCCTTACATTAGCTATAGTCTAGATTGCTTAAATGGCGTCGTATAAGGGATTATATTGGGGACTATTGTAGAAGTCATTTAGTGGGACACTAGGAGTTTAGACTCTAGCTCACATCATTATGGTACAGTCTTTCCTCCCAGACTGATACATACCATAATCTCAATGAGACCCTATCAAGCCCAAGAGACTTCCAATTCAAGACTGCCCAAAATCCCCAGCCCTTCCTAGACCTCCCAAGCAACCAAGGCAGCCTGTGAATATTGCGGTGTTTGGGAGGTTCATGGCTAAACCCTAAACCTTAAAGTAGTTTCCATTTTGTTTTCCATTATCCCCATGTAACCCTATATCATACCCTTTATTATATTTGTGAAGCCAGGATTTCGAGTCCCAACCGCTCCGACGAGCCCCGGCCTTTTTCGCAGATCAGGGAGGAGCCTTCGAGGTGGTGGAGGCGACAGCAATCACCACTTGAAAGTTCATGACTGGGTCTGGGGTTGAGGGTTGTGAGTGAAGGACGGAAACGCGCATGGTAATCACGATATTATGTCTTGCTTTCTGTTCGGGTTGAGGGTTGCGTGAAGGTCCACGTGTTGTCTTGAGTGGGGGTATGAGTTATGAGGGGCCCCAGGTCCCTTGACAGAGGTTCTAGAGGTTTAGGGTCTAGGGTTTAGGGTCTAGGAGGGTTTTGTTTTTTTGTTGGTTTTTCAAAAAAAACAAGTGCTCTGGAGAATCGAGTGATATGTAGCATTTCTTCGAGGATTATGTTGGTCTCCTTAGGATTACGTGGTGGGATCTGGGGTTGCAAGCCCAGTACGTTGAGCAATGCATATACTTTTGCTATCAGATTTTGCAGCCATGAACCTCCAAGCAGGATCTACAGGCAAGCTCTCACTTGCTGACTTCGAGGTTCTGCACCATAAAAAACATGCGGGTCCTCAGTCCGTTGGGCGATGCGCCCGGAAGAGTCTCCTTTCAAAAGACAGTGCTTAAGAGCTGCTTGGCAACCACGGGGTCAGGTGTCAAGGGTCTAAGGCCAGCACATGGTCCGAATGTCATGCTCTTTAGGAAGAAAGATGGCACACTTGCTTGAGCTTGTCTCAAGGTATAGTAAGATTTTGCAGCACAACGTTTTATCTCATGCTGTATTAGCCGTGTTGTGTCTCGGCACCCTTCTGACAAAGCTGCATCAAGATGCAACTTGGTTCCGGGTGACAGGCACCTGCCCCGTTCGACGCCACGCCCGATCAGAGGCCCAACCGCATCCGTGCTGGTCGTAAGACTGCAGTTAAGACTGCAGTGCGCATCCGCAGGTAGAAGCAGTTACATGAAGAACCTGTTGAGTTCTTGCATGTTGTAGAGATTCTAGTGATCTAGTGCTTGGCACAAGTCAGGTTCCGCCTCATTTTGATTGCAACCTCATTCAAGCTGAACACAATGCTCGATTTTGACTCAACTGCAACACGCGCATCTCCAGCGAAAGCTTCTGGACAGTCATAAGCTTATTGACGGGTGTAAGGTGAAGCTTCCTCCTTATGTCTCAGAGGCCAGCCCCCTCAGTCTATCAGTGTTCATGTCATGAGAGATGCAGCCCGACGTGCGCAGCCAGGAGCATTGCACGGTCTCTCACTACCCGGGTCCTCGAGCAGCAGGCGCACTTTTATCAGCAGGGCTGCAGCTACACATCAGCAGCACCGTTTCTTCTCTCGAAAAGGGCTTTCAGGGAAATGATGTTTGGCAACATTTGACATCATTTGCCGGCAGTCTCTTTATGTCATATTGCCAAGTATAAATGTCTCAGCACTCCGGCGGTTTTCATTTGAAAAGTCTCGTTTTGCTCTCTGTATCAGGAAACAAGTGCCGGAGGTCAGCAGGGAACACTCATTAAAGCCCCAAGCATCGCCTAGCCTGAGCTGGCACGCACCTTAAACGCTGAACGATTGGTGGTATTCTCCCAGCCTCTTCTAGTGGCAACCAGGACATGAAACGTTTAATTTAAAGGGTCCGGCTTTCCCCTCTTCTGCAAACAGTTGGAACGCACCTTGCATTGTGCCATGCAAACACTGGTGGACGCAGAGCTGTTGTGAGATCACGGAGCCCCCCATCGGCTGGGGCCCTCCAACACAGCCGTTGACCCTTCTGGGTGGTCAGCACCTGAGATTGCAGAAGTGTGCTGTGAGATATTCAGAAACACTTAAGCCTTCAGCTTGCCATCTCATTACACTCCCAGTCACTTTTGCTTACTATAGGTTCGCAGACTCAAATTACCCGACATTGCCACTTGGTCTTTCTTTTTGCCTTGGTTGCATTACCCGTGCAAGTGTCCATGCCCATTTGGGGAGGTTATCAGGCGGTGTGCGTTCAAGAATGCTAGGGCTGCTAGGGTAAAGAGTTCTGAGCCTTAGGGCTGGGTGGAGGGTATGTCTCGAGCAAGAGATTTTCAGCAAAACTCAAGCGTGTCTTTGGTTTAATATTCTTACACACCCAGCTGTGACCCTACTGCTCCAAAGGAATAAGTGACTTGCGGCCAGGACAAAAGTGTCCCCGGAATGGGGAGGGTACAGATAGAGTTGCACTCTGCTAGGATTACTATGTAGCCTACATGAACGAGAGCATTTCGTCCATGTGGCCTTGCTGAGACGTCAACTGGACGGACCTTGAGACCAGTGTAGCCGCTCGCAAGTGGCCCAGAGCTGCAGTCGTAGCCGTACTGTCTAGGGTTAAGGGTTTAGGGTTCAGGGATATGCTATGGGGACCTAAGTACTTTCCAATCTTATGGTACTTGTGTTATATACAGGGGCTCTGGGGATGTTATTCTGGGGATGTATACGGGCTAAGGAAGTTTGGAGAATTGAATGGAAAAAGATAGCATAAAATGGAATGGAAACTAGGGGCTTATAGGGATAGATATGGTTCAGGGTTGGGGAAGAACAGAGCATCAAACGGAAGAGAAAATTCAAAGAGAAATGGAAACTAGAGGTTTATGGGTAGATATAGGCTTGAGGGTTCAGGGGTATGGAAGAATGGAGAAGAAAATGGCAAAGAAAGTGGATAAACACATGGAAGCGAGGGTTTGTAGAGGGGCTTACAGTATAGTCATAGTTACCGACATTGTGGTCCTAGATTCCTTGTATGCTCATAGTATAGGGTACTTAAAATACACTTCAGGATGATATTGATACTTATTGGGGATCGGCCCAAAAACATTCGGTCCTTAACAGCAACCGGGCTCGTGACAGAAACGGCTGGTCATGCGAAAGACCCGCCGCAACCCCAAGCCCAGCACCTGAGGCCACGACAAAGAGGTTTCGGCCCACACCCATTGAGGGGAATGAACATTCTCCAGGAACACAAGCAGACTCCCTACTCCAGTATAGGGGTATACTATAGGGATAATGGAAAACAAAATGGAAACTATTCTAGTATATTACAGAACATTTTATTATAGTGAATATTCTACTACCCCATGTAAACCCTCCTTGCCTCCGTTAATCGAGAAAGGCTCGCGGTGAGTATCTTGGAATGCTTGACATTTATAACCCCGATATAACCCCATATATTATAGTATAGTAGTTTCCGTTTTATTGTCCATTATACCAATATAACTCCCATATTGGTTTAGGGTTGAAGACGGACACATCTCCGCACTTCCCTGGAAGGATGCAGACATCTTGCGATTCTCACTTAGCATGCGCCATTTTCATTCTTATCCAGCACCCACCCGTTAGAACTGCGGTGCAGGTGTCCGACATAACCAGCGGAATGCCCACTGGAAGGCCCAAAACAAGATCCGCAATACATTCAAGACGATTTTCAGAACCCAACCCCGCCAGGGATCCACTTTGTCCCACCCTGCACCCCGACCCCTCTACCATCCTTAACCAGGACCACATGGCAGTTTCCCTAAATAGGGGTTTCCCAGTATAGAGCCCCAAATGCTAGAGTCATCAAAGGCACCCCTAATTTTGTGAACCCCCAGCCGACTCTCGTACTGGCCAAGGCTTCGAGAGCCCGAAACTTGGCCTCGCCACGCCGCTGGTGCCCTTCGGCCGCTTGGCAAATCCGTCAGCTTAAGAAAAAAATCTTGGTATGACATTCAGCGTTTTGGGGGTCCCAGTATAAAGGATGATAGTATATTGGGGCTGATTATATTGGAGTCCCCTTATTTTGGGAAGTTACCATTCTTCTCTTCAGATCTAGTTTAGTGTGGACTTGCAGTAGCAAACTTGGGTCCCAAGTCTCTCCATCGCCTGTGTGGAGGTGTACAGGCAACGGGGTTGGTTGTATAGTCCCCCTTAAGTAGATAGAATAGGGGTAGATGGTGATATTATTCTAATATACCCAAGGCATCTTCTATCTACTTGAGGGGGACTACAAGTATTCTGAATGCTTTGTTCATGATGGTTACTTCTTCCGTGCTGGGTGTAGACCTCCTCCTGAGATTCCCAGTAAGACCCAAGGGCTTCGGCCTTCTGAATTTTCAGAATACCCGCCTTGCGTGAGCATGGAATGAATGAAGTAATGGATATATGTATGATCCCCATCTATCGATCGCCACGGTGACCCCTGTAAGCCCTAACCATGTATGGCCTTTCAAGTGCCCCCAAATACTACAATCCTCATATGAGGAATCCCAGAAGATATCCTTTGTTTTTGAAAGCTCCAGTAGGAAAGGTGTTTAATTCGCGCGTACTTTCGCACTCAATATGATAGAGCAGGATTATGTTACCCCTTCTTGGTCATACTTACAGTAAATGATAGTATTCTTATACTATAAGCGGAATACCTGCCGTATAATCCCTGATGGCAAGCGCTGATCCCTAAACCTTAAACTCTAAGCCCTAAACCCTAAACCCCATATAACCTTACATAGTCCCGATGTAATGCATTCCCTATGTACACCCTATATTCCCTGAGCCCTAAACCCTAAAACCCTAAAACCTCAAACCCTGAAAGCATAAACCCTAAACCCTGAAAACCCTAAAACCTGAAAACCCTCAAACCTGAAACCCCTAAACCCTAAAAACCTCAAGCTGCAGCCTTAGAGGCCATGGTGCCAGATTCCCTATCTACACCTATATTCCCACCCCTAAGCCCTAAACCCTAAACCCTTGAACCCTAAACCCCTAAACCATAAACCTTAAACCCTAAAACGCTCAACCCTAAACCCTAAACTCTAAAAACCCCTAGCTGCGGCCTTAGAGGCCATGGTGCCACTCTAAGCCCCAAACCCTAAACCCCATATAATATAACCCTACATAGTCCCAAACCAATACATTCCCTATATAACCCCAATATTCCCCTAAACCCCTAAACCCCAAACTCTTAAACCCTAGAACCCAAAGCCGCGGCCTTCAAGGCCATGGTGCCAGCAGCTTCAGCTCCTTCGACGGCCCGGCCTTCGACGTGGCCGAACGGATGAAGTCGGCTCCACCGGTGCCCGCGGGGTTGGGGTTTAGGGTTTAGGGGTTTAGGGTTTAGGGGTTTAGGGTTTAGGGGTGTAGGGTTTAGGATTTAGGGGTTTTAGGGCTGTTAGTGTACGGCTTGGGGGTTAGGATGTTGGGTCTACCTCCAAAATACTCATGACAACATCAGGGGCGTAAAGGCTGATATCCCCGCTTCTAGACTTGTAACTGCTGAAACTCGACTGGCCCGTGTGCAGAATAGCGTGAGCGGCGTTGTTTGGGCACGTTTCCCTCACATTTTCTGTCTTTCCAAAACCAATTCCTAACTGGTCAGGCTGTTGCTTTCCCTTGCTCTGCCCAATCTCAGTCCCTCAATGAATGCCTTCTGCTCGTGGAGGTGCCTACGCCGAGACAGGTCGTCCTCTGCCTCCGAGTGCTCGGCTTGGATGGGATCAACCCGCATTCTCTCATAACTGGGGGGTTCGTAGGGAATAAGTGAATACATTATCCAAGGATTTTTTCCCTTATTCCCTCCTAACCACCAGAATATATTGTCCAAGGATGTTTTCCCTTATTCCCTCCTAACCACCAGCAAGCCTAGGTCCAACACGTGTGCATTGACAGCTGTCAGAAAGGATGTTTCGGCGAGTAACACCAAACACCTGCATTTTGGGGCAAAGGCGATTGTATGGGGTTTATATAGCTTTATATTCAGATGCTGCGGGCTGCAACGCAACAACGAAGGGATGTCTGCTTGTGTACAATGGTCTTTGCCCCAGAGATGAGATTTTGCACGCGTGATGACCGTCACGGTCTGGTCTGGGGCATAGTGATGCTCTTTCTAGCTAGGTCTGTCTGATGCCGCCTTCTGCTTGTAATGCGCGGTTCTAGCAACCAATTGTATGTCTGGGGGTTGACGGCTCATTGCCCACTTAGATGTCAATGCCATCAGAGGAAGTGCATGTTTTCACCCGCATTGTTGTTCGAAGCTCAGGAAATGCAGAATGTCTATGAATTTCTGCGATAGCATGTAAACGTGCCCAGGTGAGCTCTGAGACCCCTGCCCCGTCCAAGCGCAGCTCGGGGTGTTACCTTTCAGCTACGAGCAAGCTAACCTAGCCAGGAGATCCTCGGGTATCCTCACGTTGTCAGCAGGTTCTATAGTCTCGCTGCAGCCACGGTTGCAGAAAGCATTGGTGTGCTACGGCATGCCAGGGAGCGTAACTACATTCGTGCAGGTTTCTTCCACCACAATCAAGGGCGAAGCTGCAAAAAGTGACCCAGACACCTTCGCCCAAGCAAGTATCTAGAGTAGCACAAGCCTTCATCTTGCAACATCTAGCATCTATACCACCATGGGCTATTAGACCCTAAAATTCCCTATTAGGATCCTATTAAGGGTAGATTAAGGTACCCTTAAGGTCTAATAGCCCATAGTGGTAATTGGGCGTTTCCAGATGTTAGGAGATGTCTTGTGTGCCTTGTTGGGAGTCCTTGCGGAGTACAGCTTTCAGGCCTACAAACAAACTTAGCGCCCTTCCACTAGGTAGCTATATTACGAAGCACTGGTGTGATTCATTTATTCCATTAGTTTCAGAGACGGTATATAATATGTAACCCTATAAGCCCTATAAGAGAGGACCTATTAGATAATGCCTACTCATTTGTTTTTTCCGTCACGGAAGCTTCAGGCAGCTCGCTACACTTTCTTTGGATCCGGCGGTGGCCAGTCACATGCCCTACTTTGACTTCTTGGTTTGGGATTTAGTGTTTAGTGAGTCTGGGTTGAAAAGAGAATAGGGAGCCAAGGTGGCCTGCAGTCTCTTTGAGGGGCTTATCAGCTTATCCCTTGCTGGAACATGCAGGGTTTAGGTGGCAGGGTTTTAGTGATTATGGTTCAGGGTTCAGGGCTTGGAACAACCGGCAGGCTTGATGAGATAGGGTACTTTTGAGACTCCACTTCCCAAATTTGACATAACAGCGGGCTCTACGTAGGCTGTTATGCTGTGGACTCTGCTTTCTTTCCATGCAGAAGCAGAAGCAGCAATGTGCATGCAAAACATAAGTAGCAAGGACTGGGGCGGACTTTCTGCCGGCCATTCATGTTGAAAACTATCTTCAGTTGCAGGTGCAAAGTTGCGATCTAATCCCTTGTGAGGGTGTTTAGGAACAGCAATAAGAAGAAAGCTAGCACAAGAAAAAGCATTAATAGATACTGAGGGAATAAAAGCCGTACGTGAAAAGTAATAAGTGCCATAGCTACAATACTAGCAGCACTAGCAATAGAATAGTAATTGCAGCAAGTTACAGTAGTACTAGAATAATAGTAATGGCAACACGAGTAATAAAGCATATATTTGTTTATAGCCCCGGCCTGGTAACCAGGCAGGCTGCACATAAACAAATCCACGGTTGAGGGTTTAGGGTGTAGGGCACGCTGTGATTCAAAAGTGACATAAATGGCACTTCGATGGCTGCTCCGCATGCCATCAACTATCCAGAAGCCCAAGCCCCATGCTGGTGCCTTCCTAACACTATTGCCATTACCAGTGCTAGTGTATCATTATTCTTACTACTACTCCTACTGCTAGTATCTATCACAAGTTACTGTTACCTTTTGGACTGTTTGCTTTTGCTTCTGAAAGGCCTGAAGGCTACTGTCTGCGTGTGCCGGCCTCAAGAAACAAATTAAGTTGAAGATGTGGGGATCTCTCCAGAAAGATCCCAAAATCGATCCTGAATACAAAGTTCCTTCTGTAAAGGGAGGCCCCCAAAAGGGGCACTTGATTGCTTGGAAACTCAGATATCAAGATGCAGGCAATCAAGGTAGGGTTTAGGTATGTTTAGGGCCCTCCAGGGAGGAGTGATCGTCATGAGGACATGCTATGCATACTAGCAGTAGCTCCTGGGGCTGATGTCAGTGGGTGTCCCTTCTAATGGATTCTGATTTTGGTGTGGAGGGGACCAGTTTCAGGACTGCGGGACGTTTACCGCCCTTCTTTCCCTGATTCATGATTACGGTTCCCCTCATCCTGCACTTTCTCTCAGCAGAATGATGCACCTTTGCAACGCCGCCAGCCTATTTCGAATGCTTTTGTCTGGCATTGGATGAAGCTGATTTGTTCCCCAGACAGTACCTGCAATGATCAGACATTGTTTCCGTGGACCAGCACAGCAGATTTCCTCGGTCAAGGGTAACTCCATACCCAAGATTTTGAAAAGCAGATGTCGAATTGGAAAGCTCTAAATCGTAGCCACACTCCTTCCATGAGAATGACAGGGATGCTCAATAAACAGCAAAATTTCATGGCAGCTTCTGACAAGATAATGGGGGACCTCCATACTCTGATTTCAACCAGTACATATGTACATGTATATATATATATGTATATGTACTTACATACATGCATACATACATACGTGACTATCTATATATATATATATACATATACATCTCTCTCTCCCCCTAGATCCAAGGGGTTCTTGAGACGCTGCCACATCATTCCCATGTTTCCCGTGCTTACGACTGGGAGGCGGATTTAGGGTTTAGGGTTCAGGGTTTTGAGCCGCTGTGGACTCCCTTCTTTTGAGATTCTATCTGATAGTTTCCCAAAACTAGGGGATCCAACATAATTCCCAATATAGTATAACCCTTTTTATAGGGCTCCTCCAAAAGGCATCCCTATGTTTAGGAAATCCACAGTTTTCCTGGAAGACCTTTGATCTCCAACCGTTTCTCGCGCCTCGTGAATAGAGACAGAGAAACCCGAGGTGAATACCAGTATCCCTTGTAGTCACCGTTAGTGGGTGCGTGGTTCTTCTTGGGAATGCCCCTGTTGCCCTCGTCGCTTTGAAAGCTACGCAGCTGAACCGTATATTTGTTTGGCTGAGTAGTCTCCATTTTCATGTCCATTATCCCTATACAACCCGAATATACTTGAGTAGTTTCCATGTTCCTTTTCCTTATCCCTGTATAACCCCACTATACTTTGGTAGTTTCCATTTTCTTTTCCCTTATCCCCATATAACCCCCAAAATACTACAGTAGTTTCCATTTTCATTTCCATTATCCCTGCTGAGATCATCCAGAACAACACCTCCTCCCGGCCTGCGTGGTTGCTGACGATAGCTTCAACGATTGCAGCCTCCGGCTTTCTGAGCCTGGGAGCCTGTGATTAGTTAGGGTTTAGGGTTTAGGGTTTGTCGCCAGCTTCACTTCCTTTATCCCCTATGTGACCCCTATATAACCTTATATTACCCCTAGAAAGCCCTAAGGGCTTCAAAGACTTTAAGTTCGTACCCTTAAAGTTTGTAACCCTAGGTGTTGTCTCCCAGATACCCTTATTAAGGGCTTTTTTCATGGGATTAGGGACCCAAACCCCAGGGTACAAACCCTAAGGGTTCAAAGCAAACTCCCTGATGTTTTGTGGGAGCTATGGGAAGTTTACCTCTGCTTAGCAAGGAATGGAGGGATGCATCAGCATGGTGGTATTATCTATCCCCGAGAATATAATGATTTGCAATTTCTTGTTGCGTTTCTTCATTCTCTGCTAGCCAGAGGTAAGTATATATATGTATATAGACAAGTATACTGATATATGGCAAGTATACACCTATATATGTGGGTTATGGAGGGACTTTACAGGAATGTTATGGACTGGGCTTTAGGTTGTTTGGGAGTTAGGCCTCCTGTACAGGGGTGGCGTTGCGATCATGATGGTGCTTGTTAATGAGTCCCCGCCCCCACCTTTAAAGTCCCCCTCCCATATGGCACATTCCCTATATATAATTTTCGTAAAGTATACGACAATGGATTGTCGAATATTGGGGGGGAGGGTGAATCAGGACATTCGCGTCACAGTGTCATCTTCAAGTTTCGTCTGTCCTTCCAGAGCATGTCGCCAGCAGTACCATTTGCGCAGTCGTTCTCTTGTTCACAAGGACTCGCATCAGGATCACAGTCAGCAATAACATTACGACTGCTATCCACGCAGCTGCTATTATCATCACTGCTAGGCTTGTCCATGCGTGCATACTTTGTTTAAGCACAGTTCTGCTTTTTGATCATCACCATCTTCGTGTGTCTTTCTTGCTAGGTTAGGCACAATAGGGCTAGCTCAGTCTTTTTACAAGTGCTTCATCTTGAAGTTGCTGCGTGCAGTAGCGACAGCACACGATATAGAAGAATGCTCAAGCAATGCCAGTCTAGTTTTGAAATGGGTTCATACCAGACCATTGAGCACCAGCATGCAATACCCCTAGAACACGGTGATACTGCAAGAGTGTGATACTACGCTACTACAACACAAAAAAAAACATGTAGAAGCTTATAATGAGATCTGCATGAAAAATCTACGGTATTTCAAAGCCGTAGCGTGCACTTAACGGGTAGCTTCAAAAAACCTGCTATGTTTTTTTCCAGATACGCAATGCTCCTGCATATCTGGTACTCTCACAAGGTCCATACCAATCGTATTTAGTATTATTACTGTTATTACTTCATTGGCAAGTCAGAACACAGCTGCTTCTGAGGCCCCGAGAGCGCCCAGGAGGTTATGCGCGGTGGCTGGCTTCACCTAAAGCTGAAGGCCGTCGAATGCGGTCGAGGGTTTATGTATCCTATTGTGTATATTATATAGCCCTATGAAGGAACCCTAACAGTGGACGCGGCGGTCCCTCTTGTAGTTTAGTATAGTCCCTAATCTAGTCCATAACAAGGAACCCATGTCCAGTAATCATCTGGGTAATAGTGACTGTAGCGCGTATAGGGTTAAGGATCTAGGGCCCAGATTTTTGGCCTTTCGCCTAGAGCTTCGAAATAGGTAGGGGAATTTCTGCCAGGTGCTATCCTGCAGTCTTATATAAGTGCAACTATAGACAACATTCATGTTTCATAATCTGCCTGCGTAGGTTGTGATCAGAGGACGACTATCAGAGAGTGTTCACGGACAATTCTGGGTGGTGTTCGAGGATAGAGCCCCTTGTTTGGGTATTGGGGCTAGGGAATGACTGGGTTTCTATTAAGGAACTCAGATTAACATATTATAGCACGGAAACTCTATTTTTTACTACCTATAGTTTCCCTTAAGTAGATAGAATATGGGGTATATGGAGATCTTGTTATCGTATACCCAAAGCCATATTCTATCTACTTAAGGGGGACTATATACCCAGTTGCTTAACAGCAACCCAGATGAAGGGAGAGCCACTCAAGGAGCATGTTCTAAGGCCCTCCCAGACACGCACACCCAGACCCCCAAACAAATCTCAAAATTAGATCGCCTAGAACCATATGGGAAATATGTGGATTATATAGGGGTTATAATGGGTCTATTTAGGGGATCTAATTTTTAGATCCTTTCAGGGGTCTGGGCAGGCGTACAAAGCCCGGATATCTGCTTCTGCCGTGACCTCAGATTCCGTATCCCAGGTTCCGGCCTGCCGGTTGGGGAGATCAATGTTCTAGCCTATATGAGACAGAGTCTAAGCTCCTTAAAGGGGGTTGTGTAGGGGATGATATAGGGGCGTATCATAGGCGTTATTACAGGGGACACTAGGAGTTTAGACTATAGCTCCTACAAGGGAGATTCCCCACAACAATGGAGAATCAAATGGAAAATGACATGGAAAGTGGGGCATGTATATTGTATGTTACGGGACCGACCTACAATTAATTTTGGATGTCTTTAAACCATAAAGTGCCACCCAGACTTACGTAGTCGCAATGAAACAGTAATGCAGCTAGGACGGCGCATAATAACAGTATGTGTGGTAGGGAACTCAGAACCGTGCTGTAACGGCTTTTGGCGCTTATACCTTGCACTTGTGCTTGTTGTTCAGTTGTTTGTCCAAAGCAAAACATGCTACCTTCACCAAGAAAAAGGGGTACATGCCTTCAATAGGGTGTAGCAGGCTTGGGTACATCTGGTAGGCGTTTCGGCTTTAGAACGTAGAGCGGGGATGTCGCAATCTCCGCTGAATGATCACAACAACGCCAGGATTGGGTGCGGGCGTCAAAGATGGGCTTCTTTCTCGTGTGTTGAAGCATACCTTGGGTACTGCTGTAAGAGTTGGATAAATATGTAGCTCTGAATAAGGCTCCTAAGATTGGCGTTTACAGGGTGGGGGTAGTAACCAAAGCATAGCCATCAGACACACCGTTCTGCAGTGATCGTTTCCATGAAGCTTTGTGGCCTATGTGCTATACTTTCTGTTTCATAGGCTTAAGGTCCCCAAGGGTCCCGTTATTTGAGAATCCCCCGCGTCATTTTCGCTTAGGGACCGTGCATGTGCATTTCACGGCTTCGGAGGGCGGGGGATTTGGGAAGCCCCCGCAAGTAGCACGGCTTACGTTGCCATGAAGATTATATATTTCCTGGACTATCCAAGTACCCACAACAGTTTGTTCTGTGAACCTCTAGGTGATCCGATGGCTACATGGGCTACTAGTGGTAATTTGGGTATTTGGGACGTCTAGGTAGAGCTTAAGAATCCTTCTAGCCCCCATCAGGTAGAAGGCACCAAAGTCGCGGAGATCCTCGATGTGACTTATCCCCTCGGACAGGCGATGCAGCCTGCCCGTCTGAGCTATAGTCTCAACTCTTCAAAGGAAAGGGGGTTGTATGGGGAATTGTAGAGGGGAGAATTGCAGGGCTTATTCCAGGGGCATACTAGGAGTTCAGACTACAGCTCATCTGGCAGTTTGCCGAAATTCGAATTCTGCTAGTAGGATCAGCCGTAGTGCTTGGAGTCTTGCGGAAAGCCTAAGCCACTGAGTTTCTACGACTAGCGAACTCACTGGGAAACGCCTACAAAAAGAAATAAGCATTTTGCTTCCGGTTGCCGTCTCGGCTGCAGCAGCTGTGGGTTTAGAGTTTAGGGTTTAGGGTTAAGGGTGTCAGGACAGTGAGGACAGATTCCCGATTCATCCCGTCGTTGCCTTGCGAAAACTTACGACCAAAACCTTTGGAAAACCCAGCGATGGCTAGCCGATCCTCCTCGAACTTTACTTGCTATAGGGAGTCCCAAGAAGCTGCCCAGGAATTGTGGGAAACGCCCGAATCCATCTTGCTATCTCAAAATGCTCTGAAACAAGCAGGTGGAGCCTCGTTGATACTAAATACTGCTTGACCCTAAACACTTTACGTAGACATTGGGAATGATGATGCTATGGTATACTAAATTCATGTAGAATTCTAGGCATCAACCGTAGTACTCCTACCCTCCCACTGTAGCGGGAGAATTGTGCCGGCGCCAGGTTGGACTCGGCTGTGGCTACCACAAGTGTCAGTTTGACAAGTTCGAGGCCACATTCCTGGGTAATACAGAGTCATATGGTAGTTTCCCACAATAAGGGCACCCCAATATAAACACCCAAAGAGTATAGTTCTTACCCATTTTAAAGTTCCCTCCCCCAACAAGGTACCCCGCAAATATTGAGAACCCCACCTCTCATATAGGGACATACGTATACGTTAGTATGCGTTTTATTGTGAAGGATGGAGAATCAGATGGAGAAGCTATGTAAATCTACGTGGAAACTTGGCATATCTGATAGTTATAGTTTCCATACTTAGAGCGGAAGCCAATAAGACCCCAACATACTATCGTCTTTATTATGGAGACCCCAAGAGAGTACCCCTAATTTTGGGAAACGTTCCTTGAGGGTTTGGAGGGTTTAGGTTACTTGGAGATTCTGGGGTTATCAAGGGGCCAGGAAAGCTCAAGGCATTCTACGGGAGATGATTAGGGTTTAGGATTTAGGGTACTTGGAGATTCAGCGGTGTTTGTAAGTGGGGTTATGATCAGGATAAGTCTGTTTATGTCCGTATTTTTAGGGGACTTGTACCCCCACTTGTAACAATCCATGACTTTTCAAGTACCCTCGCCTCCCCGCCTGAATGGGGCTTTCCACAAAACATGGGTCTCTCTTTGTCTTTGGTGGGAGGAGGCAGAGTTGTCGATGAAGCACTATCTCCCTTTTGGAGGGCTGCATGTGTACGTATACACGCTGATATGAGGGCCGTAGCGCCTGTTGAAGATGCAGAGTGAGACCTGCAACAGTGCTGTCCACTCCCTTGGGCCCTTTCGAGGAACTCACATGTGAAGCTGTCTGTATCGTTAGCTGGTGCAGCTCATCATGTGAGAGTGTAGTCCCTCATCTGAAAGCATAGCACATCTATAAAGACAGCACTCACTGCCTTCTGTACCCCTCTGACTGACCCCTAACGCACCCTTCCCACTGACATCAGGACCCTGTAGTTCCATTTTCTTTTCCATTACCCTTATATTATCCCAACATATTATAGTAGTTTCCATTTTCTTTTGCATTATCCCTAAAAAAGCCTATATGCTTTTCCTAAGAATACACGGGATTCAGCACTTCAGGCCCTCTACCTGCACACAGCTCCAGGTGCGGCCAGCTTCTGAGGAGAGCAAGCCCGATGAGGGACTGTTGGAATCCATACGCCCCTTTGCTTGAAGAATGGTAGAGAGGCAAACGGGGATACGGCTTGAAGGTTCACAGAAATTTCTGTTATTGTTGTTACTGTCCGGAGTTGGGAAGGTTTTGGGCAACTTTTGACCGGTTTGGTCTTTTGTTGCTGGTTGCTTTTGGCACTGGGCTTAAGGGTTTAGGGCTTAGGGTTTTCAAGCCTGACCAACTAGCACAACTATCCGTGAACATCCTTATACAACTATAGCACAGCGTATTCCAAACCCACTTCGAATTATTTAGGCCCCTATAGCAGCCACTTTCAAGACCCCCCATCAACGGGCAATCTGGCAACAACATATTAATGGTAGAGGGTATTTGGAGGAATCCGGGTTCTTAGAAGCATTGAGTCTTGCAAAGGATGGTTTACGGTAGAAATGCGTACCGCATGGAGACACCCCAAAAAACAGCTTTCCATTTTGCTGATCCCGACCGCAGGCAAGGCAAGAGGGTATCAGGATGCATTTCTTCCTGTGCAAAGCACTACCGGGCCAAGATGTAAAACCAAGAAGGAAGAAGCCACTCTCCATGGTATCCTGTGTGTAGTGCTTCCACAAAGACTTCTGTACAAGCTTCATGTTCAGCACCACGGCCAGCACTGCCAACGCTGTGACGGCAACCGTTGAGGAGTTTAGTAGTTTAGACTAAGTTAGTTGTGACAATGAAAAGTGTCCCTTACTTATTGTCTATCCCTGGTACGGTAGGTCAGTTTTATAGCTCAGTAGCATTCACCCATGATGTTGTTACTCCGGGGGGTTCATGCATGAGACCTTTCAGGACCGCTGCTGAAGGTCTTTGATCCAGCCACTTTGTCCGCAGGACTTGGAGGTCAAGCGGTAGTGGGTTTGGTTTAGGGTTGAGGGGCTAGGGTAAGTATATTACCCAGACCCCTAAAGGATCCCAAGCGTGGACAGCACCAAAATCATCAAAATACTGCAGTGGGAAACTACCCCCGCGCCAGAATGAGGAATGAGTGGCGCCAGATTAAAAGAATGACTGGGACTCTTGGAACTCAATTAAAAAACAATAGTAATGCATTCCTGAGTCATTGCGGCTCTTGGACCTCTATTTATTAAAAACGACTAGGAATGTATTGAATATCTCCATTATCAGGATAGGTTCCCCGAAAATTTTCTTTGAACCTGGTCCCTTTTCCCATGCGAAAAGCCACCTAATTGTAGCTAGTCTTTCGGTCCTAATTCCACCCCATTTTTTTAAGATATGGTCCCTTTCATTAATGAAGTGCTTGGAGTAAGGGTTCGGGTTACGTAAGTCATACATGGGTGGATCTGGGGGAATATCGGAATACTCATAGCTTATACTTGGAAGCCTACCATAGGGGATCAAATGTGGAAATGAGCAGATGTCGGGCAACACATAAAATCGTTTGCCCCCAAGAAGAACCCCTGGACAAGGGCATTTCCATAATTGTGAATTTCACTTCTATAGGGGAAGTTAGATTTCATGTTTCGTTGGGATGGACAGGACATTTCACGGACATACCACACTACACGGGAACGTTTAAGTTTTTGACCGAACGACTGCATGTGGGCTCTATCTAGCATTAGTCTGACTGTTCAATTTGTCATTCAGGAACACCTTACCACCACCAGTCTGCAAGCTTTCGGGTGAAATTAGGGTTTCTGAAATCGTTTGATACACATGATGTCCTGATGTTGGTTCCCTCGTCTTTTCACGTTGTGTACAGCACAAGACCGTCGGATTGGTGCTTAACTTGTAGGGAATGGTGGAATGGATCCCTATGTAAAGCCTATTGCAGGCCAGTCCTTGCATTGGAATTCCCAGAAACTAGGGTCACTCTTAGTAGCGCGAGAGAGAGGGTCGCCCTCAAAAGAGTTCAATGCCATACCTCTTTCAGGGACTCCCAAACAAAGACCCCTCAGTTTTGAAGACCCTCCTGCACCCCAAACCCTAAACCCTATGAACTACAAGCAAGCCCGGAGACCTACGCTGCCAAGGTGACTTTTCACTACAACGCGCGCCGAAGACCCAAGCTTCTGCCCAGCTTCCAAAATGGTATATAGGGATGTGTAGAATTTAGCGTTGAAGTCTATAGATAGCAGCAACATGGGGTCCAAAACTCGTAGCTGTTACTGTCAGGAGGAATGCCCTAATTTATCCTGAGTTGTAGGCAGATCCTATAAAGGCCATACCTAGTCAACCTTTCAAAAACCAAAGAGATTCGGCTCTTTACCAAGTATATTTTTTTTTGATGGGGGGGGGAGGGGGGGGGGTTTAAGGCATTCTTTGCATTATCACTGTTTTGGACAGTTGAGAGGTTCAGGTATATGCTCTCCACTTGGAGACTATATGCCTACCCTGATTGCGTGACCTGGGTGTTCTACCTTTTGCTTCGTCATGTTTTAAAGGTAGGGGTCCCCATACTCTCCCAACCACATACCGGTAAACTCCAAAGAGCCAAGTATCTACATAGTCTATACTTTAGACCCAAACGGGCAGTCCTATCTAGATGCCTATGGGCCACATCTTATTGGGCACTTTGAAAGCTTCTTGGAGTGACCATTAGGTAGCTGCGACCCTTCGCCGACCCCGACGAAGCAGCGGACGGACTTCACGGGGATGATTGGCTTTGCATTTGCTCAGGCCCCAGATGCGGGGTTGCTGTTAAGGAACTTCAAGTGAAGTTACCGGTCCAAGGAGCCCCTATTGTTTGCTATAGGGTTGCAGGTATAGGGTTTGGGTTCTATTATTTCCTGTGGAGCCATATTAGTAAATCTAGTAATTTAAGCTAGGTTCCTTTACGTCAACAAGGATGTCCACTGCGAAGGCTGCAGCAGCAGCAAGAACATTTAGACACACCGTCACACGTCTTCAAGTGGAGGGCTCATGGCATGAGGTTGATGCTAGAGGGCTATACGAGGTTGTGCCGCAACGTTCGGAGCTTTCCTTGTTACATGTGGAATGATGTCTACGTCCTGACGCATTGCTTTGAGGAAGGGTTGGGGGGCCTGCGATCTACGAAATCATGGAAGAGGGGAACGTTTAGTCCCCCTTAAGTAGATAGAATCTGGAGTAAATAGAGATCTTATTATAACATACTCAAAGCCATATTCTATCTACTTAGGGGGAATATATAGATGAAGGGGTCTCGACAAAGTCAGCAAAAGTCGCTGGTCCTAAAACTTCCGCCGCCCTCCAGCTCTATTTGGGATTATATAGGGAGACTGGAAAAGAAAGTGGAATCACTCTTTAGGGTTTGGGTAATACAGGGTTACATGGTGGTAATATAGGGATGATGGAATGGGAAATGGAAACTATTATAATGGGTTTTATAGGGTTTAGTAGATTTCTGGGCATAGCCTCAACAATTCTTCTTGGTGGCTGCTAGGTTTGGGAACGCCCGGGGTCTGCCGAGGAAGTCGAGCGGTAGCCTAGTAATATGCCATACTCACTTATAGGCAGGGTTCATTAGGGGTTTAGGGTTTAGGGGTTTAGGGTTTTTGGGTTTAAGGCTCAAGGTTTGGGGTTTAACTTAAGGTTTAGGGGTTTAGGGTTTAGGGCTATCACTTCAGATCGTTCCAGACAGCTGGCCCTTGCGCATGAGACGCCTCCTCATTAAATGAGGTGACGGGGTTAGTTGTTTGCCTGGCAGAGTCGTTGCAAGCCAGATGCAAAAGGGTTTAGGGTTTAAGTTTTTTTTTGCCCTTTACAGATAGGTACCATCATAGGTGACGATCCTTTTGTATCATGCATACCTACAGTAGGCTGTCCCAAGAACCTTACCTGGCCTCTGGCTCTGTTTCAACCACAGCCTAAATGGGAAAGGATCGATGAAATGGACAGAGCTCAAAACCGCAAGTCGTTCGAAGTTTCTACCGCGGGGTCTACCAGCAATCCACCCCTCAACCCAGACGGACATCGAATGTCAGTGGGGATTGGGATGATTGATAGCAGAAGACGGGATTGCCACCATACGTCCTCATGAGCTGGACTGCCTTCAGAATCCTCCGTTGCATAGGCCTCAAGAGGGCTGGGGTTACGGGCTCAGGGTGCCTTCAGAAAACCTCCGACCTAATTACCCTGAAACATCTTGAACCCTAAGCCCTAAAACCCTAAACCCTAAAGCCCTAAACCCTAAAAGCCTAAAACCCTAAATCCTAAACCGCCTAGGTCCCAGAGCAGCCCGTGGCCGTGATCGCGCTGGGCCGCATGGTCCTTCGGGGCAGTGTTGGCCTCAGACTGTTTTTGAGGGCTTAGGGTATTGGGCTAGACTGCAAGGACCCTTACAAAGGGTCTGATGGGTACTAGCGGATATAGGGCTTAGGGTTGAACAAACCATGTGGCTGCCAAACCTCTACCTCATTCGCAGAGCCCTCTCTCTGGGCCATAAACTCGACATGGAGCTTGAAGGTCTACAACCCCCAAATTCCTGCCAAGACAAAAAAAGCCAAGCCCTAAACCCATATATAGAGGCCGGGAAATTCCCTGGAAATCATGCTTTCTCTCATCTATGATCCTAAGAACTAGCTGAAAGCACAATTTCTACAAGGGTTCCAAGAAACTTAGAGAAGCTTATTGACGGAAATGTGCACCTTCGCGTTCAGATGCTCAGACCCCTACAGTCCCCAAGCATCCTTTGGGTCCTTTGAGGCCACACAGTTCAAGGTTTAGGGCTGCATTTTCGGAAGGCAATCCAGTGCAGTGAGCCTTCATCCAGACTTCGAGGTGTCCAAAAACCGGGGTCCTGTCTGATACCCTCGACGAATATTATCATGATTTTATGGAGGCCTTCAACAAGGGACCCTTAATTGTTAGGAGACCCTAAACACTACAGATCCCCACCAATTTCTTCCTGCAGGCCCCTCTGTAGATACATAGCCTCTAAAAAGGACACTTTTTGTCACACCCTGCATATGCATACATGTAAATATATATATACATACACACTTATATGCACAGATAAATTTATGTAGATATCTCTCTCTCTCTCGCTCACTTCCTCCCTATCTTAAAACATAACAGAACCCTAGAAACCCCTTTAAGGCTCTCCTCTTTTGGACTCATTTCAGGCCAATCGCTTTACGCTGCACACAGCGTTGAGCTGCTGGAGTTGGCAGCATTCCTACTTCCATTTGGTCAACGGTACGGATTAGAGCTTAGGATTTAGGATTTAGGGTTCGGGGGGTACACTCCCTGAACTAACATGGAACTTAACATGGGGAGACGCTTAGAAAAAGCAGGAGTCTTTAGGCTCCATTTGGGTTTCCAGTTCGTTTGTAGGATTGTAGAGGCATCTTTTTCCAACTGAACGTGTACAAGCACGGAGAAAGCCGAGTACTGTACTTGTGATTTGGAGCTTTTCGTCGCTGGGGCAGGGGGTCTATCAAAGCCCCCAACGACTTTCAAAAACACATCCTGCCAAGGGCCCGACAGGCAATGAGTAGCATTGGTACTATTCTATTCTCTTCTCATGTTGATTATGTTGTATCCATTCTTACTCTTATAGTAGCACACATCACAAGAGCAGGCTTGCTTGGCTTTGCATGATTAGACCTCTGAGGAGGCACATGGCTCTCAGGAATTTGGAGATCTGCCCATGGCTTCTGAAAAAAACTCAGCTTCTTTCTTGTACGACCCCTGATTTCCTGGTCGGCAAGTCCTTCGAAATATCAGGAACCTTCAGGCAGCATACCGTATGAGAGGGCTTATGTATTCCCAACTGCTATAGTAAGGACGCTATGACCCTCATATGACTATAGGGTCCTTGTTATAGCCATAGGGGCTTGGGGTAGCCAAAACCCTCCGTTATACCTTGGGTTGGGCACCCACCCACTAATAGTGGTATACTAGGAATATATCAGGACCCTATAATCTGATTACCATTACCTTCTGTGTTCACTATTAGTGGGTGGGGGCCCAACCTAAGTTATACTGTCAAGGATGAAGTTGCGGGTCTGCGGCCTTTGGCGGTGGTGGCAGTGTCCACCCTGGATGCACAGCAGGCCAATAATCTGGTTTGACAAGCCAAGGTCTCATTTGAGCAGCGTTTCAAACGTAGTTACTACGGCTTCTTATACTGTAAGAAAATACCATTTGTTTGGGTATCGTACTTGATGCGAAGTAATTATGTTATGATTTCGTTCTAGTCTTACTAGGTTCAGCCTCAAAAAACACCCTTCATCTCCACCCTGCACATCTTCCCACTGTTCCTGCAGGCTCAGCGACAGCGGTTTGGCTTAAGACAGAGTAAGTTTATTCAATACTCAATTTCCTGACTGGAGCTTAATTAAGACTTTGACCCATACATCTTAGATTGTTAGTGTGGACGGGGCCTCACATGGCCTGCCTCGTCAGAGGCTGCAGCACTCCTACGGGAAAGGCCACAATGTTGTTCCCCCTTTAAATCTGCTAGAGCCACCTTAGATAATACAACCTCCTTTCTCCAATCTTAGACTGTTCCCAATGAACCGTCGTGTATTAAGGCATCACTTACACTTACTATCGGAAGAGTTTGTTCACTGGCAAACTGCAGGATTCAGTCAGTCTTGACTGCTGTTGGACTTAGGCATTCTGTCCCATGTGAGCTAAAGTCTAAACTCCTGAAATGGGCGTTATATAGGAGATTATGTCGGGGAGTGCTATAAGGGTTACTAAGGGCGATACCGGGAGTTTAGACTAAAGCTCATGTGTTTAGGAAGCCACAAATAAGATAAGTGATGTCTCCCACCAACAGAAGCCTTAAACCCTGAACCCTAAACCCAAGCCAAATGAGCAGGCCGGATTCATCTCAACGGATGAAGGCTTCCACTATGCCCAGCTGCGGAAGCAGGTTCTCTTGCGGTGGTTTAGGGCTTAGGGGTTTAGGGTTTAGGGTAATGGGTTTAGGGCAATATGAATCACCGTCCTTTTGAATTTTCTTCTTCATCTGATTCTTCACTGTTCTAATTATGTCGGCAGTGGGGTTTCCCAGAGGCTCCAAGTACCCAATAATTAGGTACGTGGGATTAGGGTAATAGTACTGATAGTACAGGTCTTTGGTAAGCATATAATATTGAGTACTTGGACCATTGGGCTTTGTGATCCTGGGTATTGTTTGCAGGAGGGAAATAAGGGAAATAACTACAAACTGAAAGAGGCCTATGAAGAAGCAACAAAGGGACATGACACCCGCCGCCTGCCACACCTGCAGTTGGATGTGGCACAAGTTTCTCTAAACAGGGTTTTCCTCGTATACCCCTAAGCACGAGGATCCGTGTTCCTGAATCCTTCGGAGCCATGATGGTGAGACATTTTACATAGGTCCGGAGCCGCAGTATTGCAGCAGCCTGAGTAACGAAGAAAAATACCGAAAGAATCGCAGTGATAAAGTTATACAGTGTCCCCCAAAACCAATTTCCACTCCAATCTTCCAGGCTCCTACCTTAATCCTGCAGCTGCTCTTTGCGATGCTTCGCGTGTTTACACGCGTTTACACCGTTGCAGCCGGCAAAACAGATACGCATGCCGCCTTTAAGCTGCTGCTCGCGCCCATATCTCTGCAATCGGATGTTGGATTTACAAGATCTAGCGGCTGTTCTGCTGTCCGCCAACCCCTATGCCATTCGAGACAATGCAGCAAGATCCTAGAATTTAACTCTGAACCTAAAGTATTTCAACGTCCCAAAAAGGATTAAGGATTTGCCTCTTCAATGCAGGTGCTGTTGCAGCCAAACAAGACTTATGTCCGGGCACCAAGCCTGTCACATCCTTCCTGGCCCTTATTTGCGGGATAATAAGGATTATAGTATTTTGGGCTCTATATTGGGGTCCCCCTATTTAGGGAAGCTATCATTTATGAGCTGCTTTTTGTGGGGGATACCTCGTCTTGATGACGTTGGGAGTTTGGCTCGTCTACATGTTAAAAGTGTGGATCTCCAAACAGGGGGCTAGCCCAAAAGCCCATTGGTAGCCAAAGAAGAGACACTGTGCCGACAGAGAGGTTTGATTGAAGAGAAGTTTACAGATTTCAAGTAATCGACATACCTAGGCAGATTCCACCCGCTTCTGTGCCCCAGCTAGGCCCTCCTGGGCCCTCGATCTTTGCACCATTCTGCTACAAGATTCGGAGTTTCCAAAAATGCGAGGGATCCCACGATTACCACCCATGCCCATATATGTATACATCCCTATTCTTACACTCCTATACTCTATCCTTATATACAGGATCCTAAGCATACTCCTTATACCCGCTTTTAAAGCTCCCATTTAAAGCACCCAGGGCCTTCTCTGCAACGCCCAGTTGTCCCTTAAAACCCCTTCAACTGGGTTGCTGTGAAGACGCTTGGTTTGATGGATTCCCTTTGAAGACGTAATACAGTATAAACCCTAAGCCCCGAATATATTTCAGGCCTAAGTTACCGAATTTTGTATCCATAGTGAAAGTTGGAACCCCCCGTGGTGTAGGGTTCAGGGTACATGCAGCGCCCCAGACTTTACATTCCCAACCCTGAGCCTGATGGTTTAGGGCTTGGGGCTTAGGGCATGGCTGTAGGACGTCCCTACGCAAGTCGAAGTTTTTCTCACGCCCGGTATTTCAGTTCTGCTGACTGGTACTGCACGTAAATATGGTATCTACATATACATTTACATGTAAATACACTTGTTGGTATCCAAGCGTTCAGATGTTCTAAGGTGTGTGCTTGCCATTTGCCATGCGACCACAGCAATATTTGCATGGTCTCGCCACTGAATTAGTTGCGAGGACAGGCTTATGACTCTCCCCGACCTGCAAACCTAAGTGGTCAGAGTTTTAGCTTGGATTCGCAGAGTTCCTTCCAATCCAGCTTGGACTTCTACACGCAGGCAGCGCAGGAATCATGCTCGCTATGTATAGATGGTTACCTCCCGGTGGTGCAGAGTTCCTCCATCAACAGCGCCCAACCGCCAAAAGGTCTTGGCTTCTTCAGAGTTGCAAAGTGGTGATGCCTTCTTTGACAAGGTGCCTCAACAAGGGGTTTGTGGCTAGGGCCATAGGCTTTACAATTGCCCTGAGACAGAATATTATTTGCAGAGGCTCACCAAGCATGCCTCAGCAGAGTTTTCTGGGATTTGGGATTTGAGGGGACGTCGGGCCTTTGGTATGGGTATACTACAGGGGTATTACCCCTAATAGTGGGGAATCACATGGAAAAGAAAATGGACAAAGATATGGAGACTGGCAACAAGAGGCATAGGAGGCCCAAAGGGCCCTAAACCCTAAACCCTAAACCCCTAAACCGCTGCATCAGTTTCATCACAGGATGTGCCATGACACGGTGCTTCAGAAGGAGGGCTTGGAGAGCCTGAGGTGGTTGAACTTTTTGGGCTTAGGGTTTAGGGTTTAGGGTTTCCTAGGTTGGGTGCAATGCGCGCTTGTGCACAAGCAGTTAACCTTAAGCCCTAAATCCTTAACCAAGAATCCTAAACCCTAAACCAAGAATCCAAAG